AAAAAATGATAAATTAATCGTATATATATAAATTAATTTTAAAATCCTTAAGAAATAAAAAAATAAAAATATTAAAAATAGATTTTATTAAAAAATTATAAATAATATTATAAATAAAAATATTAATAAATCCTAATTAATTCTTAAATAGATTCTAAAAAAAACTTAAATAAATCCTAATCAATTTATAGAAAAATTCTAAAGAAAATCTAAATAAAACTAAATTAAATCTTAGCTAAATTCCTATAGATGTTTTGAAATATCAGTAGCAATTAATTGAATTGCTAATTTCAATAAAATTTCTTTTTACATCTTAATCTTTAAGTAAAAAACAAGCATTCAAAGTTTTAGAAAAATAAAATTTATAAATTGGAAGATGGAGCTCTTAATACTTTCGGATGTCAATCATCTTTCTTCTCTAATCTAAATATTGATCTTTATACAATAATTACTCTTTGTTGAATTATTCAATTTTTTTCTAATTTAATAAAAGTGCAGATATCCAAGACAAAAGTTCTCTTACAAATGTTTGCTTTAATCAAACTAGTGGATTTCTTAACATCACAAAAAATCTCACTAATCCTAAAATTTAAATGTTTGAGGTCCTAATCCAATAAAATTCATGTATCTTTCATTCTAAATACTTGATTCACTTCAAATTTATAAAATATAATTTTAAAAAGCATAATAACAAACTTACAAAATTTTACCTATGCATTTGCAACAATATCCACAAATTCTTCAAATATGTAATCTTTTTTTTTTTTTTTTTTTTCAAAATCCAAAATCTTTAAATATATTTCTATCTTTGAAAAGCTCTCAAAAACTTAGTATAAACCCAAATCACTTGAAACTAATGCTAAAACAACCATATTAAAGTTTTCTCTCAAATCTTGTTACTCAATTAGCCAAAGAACTCTGAAATTGGCATAGGAGTGCGGCCTTATGCCTTAAAGTCTGATTTTGATCCTAGTTCACAACCAATCCTCTCCAAGTATAAATTCTTGGTTTCTCAAGATAATTTCTACTACAAATTACTCTTAATTCTCTTCATAAGATGCTCATATTATTTATTTTTCTAATCTACTTTGATTTGCCTTATTTATGGCCATACAATGTATGTAGAAGCATTCTTTACTTAAAGACAATATTAATAGTATAAGTTATTTCTACCTTCCTATTTTTTATCCATGTTTTGCTATTATATCTTTCAACTAGGCTCTTTTATAATAGAACCCATATTTTATCTTTTATCATATAATTGTATTATAACACAATATCATTTGACTTGTTTGTTCTAGCAAATAATATAATTTAAAATTATAACTTTTATATCCAAAATTCCAAAAGAATATATTTTGTATTTATTTTTTAATTCTAAAATCATTAATCTATTGAAATGTTTATGGATGTTAAAAGATATCATATCAATTGGGAAAAAAAATTAAAGGTCATAATTTTGCTAATTGTAACAAAACTAAAGAATTAGATAGAAGTTGATTTATAAGTCAAAATTAATTCTTGCATAAATAATTTTAGAATATTCAAAATATTTTTATTATAAAAAGTCTTTTTAAAATCTTAAAATCTTAAAATCTTAAAATTCCAATTATATAATCTTAACATACTTTACGCAAAAGTAAAGACAAATAATTTATTAATTCTTCATATTAAATATTAAAATTTTAAAAATATGTTAACAAAAAAAAGTAAAAATTTATGTTATAATTGTTTTGAAGTCTTTAATTAAAAAGATTCTATGTTGAAATATTTTATAAATCTATATTCATCTATTTAATAATAATAAATATTATTAAAAATTATAAATTAAAAAAATAAAATGTCTCATATTACGAACTCTTATTAGCATAATAAACTATTAAAAAACACATTTATACAATAGATGGTTATGAGATTTGTGAAAAAAAATATATTAAATTTTTAAAATATTTTTATCAATTATAGATTGAATGTTTAAGTTTAAATACTAAAGAGTTTTTATTTTTTTGAAAACCAAAAAATATCAAATCAAATGAAATATAATTGAATATCTTAAGAATATCTTAAGAGTGTCAAATATTTGTAAGGTAATTTGTAAAAAGTATAAAAAATATTTAAAATGAGTGACTGAGGATTGCAATACAATAGAGAAAAAACTTAGGTTTTTATAGGATGTCTTTTTTGAATAGTATATGTACGTTTGCAACCAATGACAAGACTATATCTAATTATAAAAGACCATTGCAAATGAATATTTTTAAAAAAAAACTATAAATTTTTATGAATCAAAAAATAAACAAGAAAATCATAAATACATTTTTAGATATAAATAGGATTTAATTAGGATTTTTCAAAAATCAATAAAAGTGTGGTAAAACATGCTACTATCTACTTCTTTGGTATTTATATTTCAAATATAGTTTTAAAATCTGAACCTAATTTTTGGCAACTTAAAATTAACATGTTTTATAAAAAATAAAAAAAACAAAAGATCATATACTTGAAAGTATTATAAGGTGATCTTTTAGAAATCATCTTATATTACTAAGAACACTATAATAATTAAATTCATTTCAGGAATTAAAATATTAATAATAATTTAGAATTTTTAAATTCTTTTTATAATAGCTTAAAATGACATATTTAATAAACACTAGAAATATGAAAAGATATTGTGTGTATATATATATATATATATACATATATATATATATATATATAGTTTATTGACTTTAGATTTAGATCACTTAATTAGAAGAGCTCCAAAAATCATTTACAAATTAGAAATTGGGACTACCAATTTATCTTTAAAAATTCAAAGTTTGTTAATTTTTGCTTTAAATAAAAAATTGTTACACATAAAATGATAAAGTGAATGTTTATCCAAAAACTTCATAAATTAAATATTTTAAGATTATATTAATTTGATAGAAGAGTTAAAGTAGTTGCCAACAATTTAAACATCTTTTAAGAATATGATAAATATATATATAATAAAAAATAAAAAAATAAAAAACATAACATAACATAATAATATTGATCTTTTAAACATGTAGTACTAGAAATCGAAATTTAAATAATATTTAGAATTGTAGCTTCTTTATTTTGTAGATTATATGCTTTTAACAAGGTTATTTCTTTGTCAAATTTTCTTTTGGCTCTAATCTTATCAAAAATAATTTTACACAAAAAGAGAAAGTTAAAAAATAAAATAAAATAAAATGAATGTATGGATAACTTTTTAAGCCATCTTAATCAACTACTATTTCAATCTACTAGTTAATAATATTTTTTATTTTTTATTTTATTAATCTTACACTGCTGTAGTTAATACTCTTTGCATCTTTTATAATTCCATAAAATATTTTTTTCGTATATATATATATATATATATATATCCATTAATTACTTAGTATACCATGTTATAAGCTATAGATAATTTAGAGAGCTCACAAATAGAAAACAAGTTTATTTAAAATTTTTAAAAAGTGTAAAATAACATGTGTTAATTAAAAAATATAATGTACAATTGTACAATAAACTTTGAAAAAATTAAATAAAAATAATCCAAAATTGATTTTAATTTTATTTATATGCTTTAATTTCATAGTTATTATTAAAAATTTACTTCATAATTAATTAATTAATAAAATAATTAAAATTTACAAGAATTAATCAAATAAATAGTTTAATAAATTTATAAATAAAATCTTAAAATTATAAAATCTTACAATCCTAAATATATTTTTTTAAAATTTTAATTTAATAATTAAAAAAATGATTCTTTAAAACAGCTTATAGATTTGCAACCATAAAGTAAATGCACTAAAAAACACGTTGAAATCTATGGATGCAAGATATTTAAAAACTAATCAAATTATTTTAATAAAAACTTAAAGTTTGTATATAATTTTTGTTAAATATTAATAAATTTTTAGTATAAAAAGTTATTTATAACATTTTATGGAGAAGAATAAGTCTTTGTATAAAAAAAATAACGAATTACTTAAGTGACTTATAAATAATTCAAATGCATTAGATGAATAATTAAACTGAATGATTTAAGTCACTTAAATAATTTATGACTTGAGGCTATTTATTTAATAAACCATTAAAATAATTCAAATAAATAATTCAAGTATCTTCAAAGAAATCCATAAAGTAGAAACATGATAATTTAATTTAATAATAAAAATATATCAAGTAATCAAATCAATAATCTTGAATATTAAATTTTGATATTAAAAGATATTATGCCAATTTAGAATTCATATAGTATTCCAAAAAGTAACTTAAAAAATAATTAAATGATCAAAAAACAAGTTCAGCTTTACAAAGTTGTTGATGAATTAAATGTATCATAGATATTGCTTCAAGTCACAATATTAACCAAAATATTGTGTGTGCTTCTTTATGATTATTTTGAGTCCATTCAATGAATCTAAGATTATGAATTGCATAGAAGTTTGAATGTAAGAAATATTATTAATATTTATTAACTATTACTAATTAAGTCTCATTTATTTAGAAAATGATTAAATTTATCCACACATTTACTAAATCAAACCACTCATTATCAGTAGCAGATCATCAAACCAACCATTTTTATTTGATTGGTTTTCAACAAATATGGATCCAAAAGTGAAGAATTTTTTGATGATGACTAGAATGGATGGGTTCATTTAGTAAATGCCTAAGTCAATTAAACAATTCCCTTTATTTTATTTTATCGTTGTATTCATGAATATATAAATTAATACCCAAGTTTTACAATCACAAAAATTGGGTGGATTGTATACTCTATGCGGATCTGATGGTTCAATGGAATTATTAAATAAATTGCTTGTTAGTAATAGTTAATTCCACAAACACTTGCTACAGAATTCTTTCTAATCACCATGAGTATGCAGTAGGAACGACGGTAAAATCTACAGGACTAGGGCCACCTCGAAATGAAGGGAAAGAGAAGAGGAGAGCAGTGAGAACGAGAATGATGGGGAATGGAGGAAAGGAAGGGGCTTGCTGAGTCAGCAACCTCCAACTGTCTGAACCCCAGAATAAGCGAAAATAAGGAACGAACGAAGGATGGAAAAAGGAACAATGGAAGGAAAAAGGAACGAAGGAAGGAAAAAGGAACGAAGGAAGGAAAAAGGAACGAAGGAAGGAAAAAGGAACGAAGGAAGGAAAAAGGAACGAAGGAAGGAAAAAGGAACGACGGAAGGAAAAAGGAACGAAGGAAGGAAAAAGGAACGAAGGAAGGAAAAAGGAACGACGGAAGGAAAAAGGAACGACGGAAGGAAAAAGGAACGACGGGAGGAATGAAGGGGGGGGGAGAGAGAGGGTTAATTCATCAACACAGCTGTGCCAGTGTTGAACGAAGGAATGAAGGGGAGAGCCAACCGGGTTTGTTCGTTGGTTTGCATGTTTGTATGTTCCAAAGAGGAGGAGGCTACAACAGCAACGACGAACAGCAGACCTAGTGAGTGAGTAGTGTGACATGGAGTTGTTGCTTCTTCACATCATCACCATTCATCAACATTACACCACCACCATCCCCATTCTTCTCCGCCATCGCCGACTAACGACGCATGCCTTGTGAATCCTCGGCGTCCCTCTTCTTCTTCTTCTTCCTCCCCCTCCCCTCGTTCTTCCATTTTCTTCTATTCTCCCTCCTTTCTTTTACTTCCTCCTTTTTATTTCCCTCCCTTCTGCACCCCTTTCCTTCTGCTCGTCCTCTTCCCTGGAACGTTGCGAAGACGTGATCTTTAGGGTTTGGTTGGCGAGGTGTCGTGAGGGGAACCTTCACGTGGCGATATTTGCGTCTTAGCGTATTGGATGCATTAGGGGTGCGGACGAGAGGCGAGCCGAGCGAGAGTTTCAATTTTGGCAATTCTGGACCCAGTTAGGTTTTTGAGACGAAGATAAGGGTTTGGTGAGCGTGGCGGGGATCGGAGGTGTAGGGCTTGGTTCGGGTGAAATGCGCGAGTGCGGATTGGCGTGATACGGGAGAGACTGGAGGTGGTTGTTGTTTTGTTGTGGTGGAGGACAGGTAGGTCCTTGTAGGAGGATCGGTAGATCGCCTTGAAGAACCAGACGGGAGGGGACGAAAGCACCCATATATGTCCCATTATCAAAACAAGGGAGACCGGAGCGAGGCACAGCTGCGAAAAGCTGGAAGGGGCAGTGCTGGGCACCCAAGAGCGGGGGGCGGTCAATCGATTCCTGTGAAGGGCGGAGGGCCCGGTCCCTTCAACAGCGCTCCTAGTGGTGGCGGGCCGCCGCAGCCATCTTCCTCTGCTGCCTCTGCAGTTCGTCCGACTGCTGTGGCCGCTTCCACCATCCGTGGGTAAGCTTCGGATGCAATAGGTTGCTTAGGTTTACTGCTTGCCCCTTCCAGTTCCTGCCTAGTGGTTACAGTGCTTTGCGACCGGAGGAAATTATTGATAACTGGCCGCCTCTCTTGCAAGGCTTTTAAGTTGTTGGTCAGATTGTTTTGTGATTGGATTTTTAGGTCTTATCCTTCAGAGCCCACGACCGCAAAGTTGCTAGGACCTGGTTTGTTGGGGAACGTTTGCTGTTAAAAGTTAGGAGGTCCTGTCGCTCGCCCCGTCTTTTTGCCGGTCGTTGTGAGTCGTAGAATTTCAACGCTTCTATGAGTGAGTGTTCATTTGGGTGGAACGTTGTTTTTGATGAATTCACGCAAGATGGAGGGGGTGTTTGGCACATGATGGATGCACCTGTAAAATTATGCACTGAGTTATCGGGTACACATTTCTGGGAACACGAATGCCAATTATGTTCCTTGGAAGCCTCGCTTTAATCCCTTTTTATGTTGGTACGGATTCTATTACTGACGTACGATAGCTCTGCGGGTGACCTACATGATGGGAGGCGGTTAGACTTGTAAGGGGTCGATCGTTCCGTCGAGGTTTTAAGGAATGCACCTTCTGGGACCTATGGACTGTGTGCAATTCCAGTGTAGCTGTTGAAGCGTTAGAACTGGAGGTTTTTGAATACCCAATGGAATTGAGCCATTGTTGCGCATTCTTGCGCCTGGGTACGGGGGAGCTTAAGGTTGGAGTCGCGCTTGGACGCCTCTGCCTTGGTTCGTTGTGTCTGGAGCATTTTTGTGGCGGACGGTTTAGTTGGTAGTCGTAAAGCTGGAAATAAGCAGGATGCGGACGTGAAGGCGAGAGCACGATGAATCGTTAGGAGGTTGCAAGGACCTCCCTGGATGGTTGCACTCTGTTGTTGATGCCAATAGTTTCCCTGCGTCTGTAGGTTGTTTAGGTCAATGTTTAGCGAGCTGGGGAACAGATTCCTTTCGTTGTTCCTGTTCACTTGCTGCGTATTCAAGGATATAGTAACGCAGCAGCGCCCCCTCCCCCATCTTTCCTTTTCCTAACTACTTTACCTTACACACGACTTTTTATTCCATAGGTAAAATGCACAGCAATTTTATTTCCTGTTACCACTTACGGTGTGGATAATGGGTTTTACATTTTTAGGGGTGTGATCTCGAGAGACGAAGCGTGTGAAAATGTCCGCGTCTTTGATTGATGATCGCTCGTCAACTCTACTGTGACGAGTGGTCTCCTCACCCTCACGGTGGACTCGTTCAGAAATCGGTATTTACCTGTTAAGTCTCTACATCTGGCAGTGGAAAGCGTGCGAATGGATTTTCTGCTTCTGGCAGAGGCGCCCCAGGTGGAGGGTCTCCAGAGCAAGGTACCAACAACAAAGCGCAGCAGCAGGCGGCTTTACCTCTGCACCACAACAATCAGCAGCAGCAAGGTGAATAACCATGTAGTGTCTTGCTAACCATTGCCTGTGCCGCGTGCATCTTGCCAGTTTCTCTGGTTTGAATAGCTACACGTTTCTATTGGAAACTATTACGGGCGTGTGCATGTGGGTCTCATTGCATGAATGCTAGTGGACTACATGGTTAGATAAGCACGGTACTGAACTAATCACGTGTGGGTCTACTTCAGGGTTAAAGTTCCGATTGTAATCTATGCAGTGAGCTATAGGTTCGGATTGAGAAGTTTCTGTGATATCCTACCAACTGACATTCGTTTGGATAGTAGCAACAGGATTGCTCCAAGGTTTAGGATCCGCAGAGACAAACCAACACGCACAAATGGGAGCTCCACAACTAAATGCCGATTCGAAAAGCTCGACCCCTGCCAGAACCTCAGGAAGTGCTGGCACCGGAGCCCCAGCTGTCGCCAAGCAACTTCCGACTAGTAAGCCACCTGCTCCTCCGGCCAGCCAAACCACTGGCTCTGGAGCGGACGCGGCATCTGGTAAAGCACCACTCATTACTTTTGTATGCTTTAGATTTAACAACGTGCAACGATGCTCCGTTTTGCTTTGCTCGCTGGGGAATGATGATACTTACTCAACGTGTTTGGGGATTCCACTGTTTTTTCGAGCGCGATGGTGTGATGGAGGTGTGCAACGTAGTAGAACTGCTTATCTATCGACGCTGACGTTGGTGTTGTTTCTTTACGAAGGAACAACTGCCATTCTGGCCGGCACTTGTCTCACGGGTTTATGTCTGCTTTTTCTGCGTCTTCTGTGTAGCTGCACCACCTCCAGTTTCGCAATCTTCACAAAATCCGTTTCCTTTCCAATTTGGAAGTTTCGAGCCCAGTGGTTTTGGTGGTGCTACAACAAGTGGAAAGTCATCTGCCACGCCAGTAAGCATATCGAGCCCTAATCCATAGTTCACTCGAGTTCCGCAAGTGTAAATTTTCATAATGAGATTTTGTCGTCTGAACTGGCGACGATGTAGTTCAACAGTGGCAATGGTCTGGATGTATCGTGTTGACTGCTGATCCGAATGAGGGTCCAGTTTAAAAAAATATGAGTATGTGTGCTTTTGAAAGTAAAATTTTAGGGGTTGGGTGCACATGGGTGCATTTTTTCGATGTACTCTTAGATATTGCTAGTGGGCGTGGGTGCTGAACATGCGCTTGTCTGCTCTGTGCATGTGCAAAGTATCCATTGCGTACAAACTCTGCTCCACCTAATCTTGACGAGCAAAGGCGTGATCAGGTTGGTTTACCGCTGCTTTTCCTTCGTCCGAGGTTGTAGTTTGGGTGTTGCGATGGTGACAATTTATTTACTCATCTTGTTCACGACAAACTGCCACTTACGGATCCTATGATTTTGATTCCTATGCAACTTTTTATCAATTTCTTGAATGGAAATATTGAGGTCGTGGTAATTCTGCTTGGAACAGTTCCGGCTAACCCAGTTTCAGAATAGGCTCATTAATTTAATAACGACTTGAATTATTCGGGTGTCTACGTGACCTATCTGGTTTCCTTCCTTAATCCATGGCACGGTGTTTATCTTACCTGGTCCGCGTTTGCATCTTGAAGTTATTTGTGTGCGTATTGATTTTTTGTGAGTTCCTCAGGCACGTTTTGAGCTCAAGCCGTTGCCAAGCACACGCGTCTCGGCATCTGGGCAGCAGCTCAATGCGCAGGTAGATTGGGTGCCTCAACGAGGATAGGGCTTCTTGTCAGTAGCCTGTACTAATGGTGTGGGTGCTATGGACGATGTCTAGCCTACAATAGTCTGCCTGGGTTATTTAGATATACTTATTGCTTGGTGATGTTTTCACCGACACTAGTAGATGATCGCACGATTGTGAGGTCTTGATTTCTCTGTTGTCATTTTTAGTAGAAGTGGAACCTTCGCTTGTCAGCTGTGTTGCTCATTACATGCAGCGATTTTTTAAAGCTGGAGTTGTGGTTGTGCTGCTCTTCCAGTAGCAGAGATTTGCAGTGTGGGGTTGCCTTGACAATTCAACGCGCAATCTTGCTACCATTACCACGGTGGAGTTGTAGTTTGGTATAGGATTAATATTTATGTAGGGTTTCCGCGTGCCTTTTGTCACTAACTTGGCGTTATGGTGATAGGTGATCACAAGAAATGTGGCTGGTGGGATAGAGCAACCTGCACCGGTAATGGCGCCACATGTACAAGTGACTACAAGTTCTCAGGGACCTGTATCGGTTGCTTCAACAGCGCAGGCACTTCAGCCCCAGCAATTGGGTCAAACACCACAGTATCCTCAGCATCTACAGGTTAACAACTTGCACATGCCATCTCAGCACATGCTCCAGGTATTGCCGCGAACTCCGTTTCAACGTTGCCTCTAGGTGAATGTGAACCTCTCTGAATCGCGAGCTGGATCACCAGTGTGGTCGGTTTGAAGGTGAGAAAGAGAACAAGGCATGTGCATAAGGACATTGGACAGTCTGACTTGTTACGTAGAGTAGCGAGATTTTGCGTTCGCTTGTTCAACCTCTCCATGGAAAGCAACGCTTTGATAATTGATATTTAGATTCCAGTGTTGTCACAAAATGAGCTGCATGAGAATTTCGTATGGTTAGTGTTTCGGGAACCAGCAGGTTACTTCGCCAGTGTTGGTCTTTTTTTTATTTAATTGACTGTTTGTTTACCTGTGGTGTCCCTACTCCTGGACACATTCGCGTTTGTAACATACCCTTCCAATCTATGATGCACAGATTCAAATGCAGCATCATCATCAGCAGCAGCAGCAACAACAACAACAGCAACATCAGCATCAGCACCAATTGCACCAGCAACAGCTCCAGCAGCATCAGCATCAGCAGCAGCAACAGCAGCAACCAATGCCACCGCAGCAGGGGATGGTGCAGCAAAGCTTGAAGTACCCCCAATCTATGATGACTGCCCCTCATCACAATTCACAAATTATAGGTACTCACCCAGTAGTTAATCCTTTAACTCAACCTCCACAAATGGCTCAAATGACACATCAGCTAGGACCCGGCCAAATTCCGTCGGGTATTTCAGTAGGAGCCTATGGGGCTCCTGCAAACCATTTAATGGCCAAACAGCGCAGCAGGGCAATTCCAATTGTGAATCCACATACCCACGAGGAACTGAAAGTTGATCTATTAAAGAAGGACATTGTAGACAGTGTTCCTTCGTCTAGTCTTGGGACTGCAGGTAGGATTCCTAGTAATGGTCCTATTCCACAATTGAGAGCCCCCGTGGGATACAACACCCCCACACATCCTGTGTACTATTTCTCTCATCCTCAGATGTACCCGCCAAGCATTCCTAAGACAGGTACTTTCGGTGGCGCACCTCTCTCTAGTTCCCCGCCTGTAAGATACAGTTTTAATCCTCCACATCCTGGACAAGGTGTGCATGCAGGAACTGCTCCAGTACCATCTGGTGCTCCAAAAGTTGCCCCTAAACTGGGGCCCGGACCTACGCTAGGGTCAGCAAACCCAGCCCCCAGTTCAGGAGAGGTCATAAGTACACCTCCTGTGGCCCCACTTATAATGGTGGGGCCTCCTTCAGCAGTTGCTGTTCCAGGTATTCCTGCTGTAATTGCCAATCTCAGACCGATTCCCCCTACTCTGGGGATGAATCCGCCCGTTGTCTCTAACGGGAGACCGCCTAGCTTGACTCTTCCTTCGGTTTCCCCTCCTGCGCCGCTGACCCCTCCTGCGCCGCTGACCCCGAGCTCTGTGCTTCATTCACCGAACTCAATTGTTGGATTCAAGTTTGGCGATGTGGAGGCATCGGGTTCCACTCCGGTTGTAACTGGTGAAGCAAGTAGCGAAGGCTCACTGAATGGTATAGTTGGACACGTCTCTACACTTTCAGAACCTAACAAGTCCATTGTTGGTCCACCAAGTGTGGGTGTTGTAACCAGCTCCACCTCTCCTGGGGCTTCAGTCCCTGTTGTGAATCGACCAGCTGTTACTGTTATTCCTCCCAAACCGGGTTCAGGCTCTTCAAATGCAAGTGGTGTCAGTCCGAAAATTAAGACTCCCACTGGCACAGGCGGTGCAGGAACGGTAGGGGAGAAAGTAAAAGCAGAAGCTTTGAAGACAACTGGAAACCCTAATCCAAGAAAGACGAGCAAGAAGGATAGACAACGGCAGCAGCAGCAGACTCATGCAGCAAATTTGCCAGTCTCTGAAGCCGAGAAGACTTCGGATCAGCTTGTTTCACCAGGTTCAGGTTCAGGTGTTCCCGGCGGACATAAATCGGGTTTGCAAAGAACTCAATCTGGAGCGCACAGTAGTAATGCGGTCTACACGCCACTGAAGAATTTGGGAAGTAAGCCGGAAGAACCAAAGTCGTCCAATGTCAACGCTGGTGTTCAGACTCCAGTAAAAGGTATGTATGACTACAGTCAAGGCGGTCGTCTAAGCTGAATTCAGGTGCTACTGCGGGTCTGAGATGCATGACATCACTCAGAGACTGAACAGGTCGTGGGTTCGGTATTTATGATCTGTTATTATACCTATGATCCTGAACGTATTCATTCGAATACCTATGATTGGGCTGGTCATGAACTTTTCTTGATGCGTTCATGTAGCTTTCGGGTGCTCACTAGGACACGTTGGCGTGGTTCTGTCTTCCTCCAGATGCAACCTCAGAGAACACAGAGTCTCAAGAACACAGAGGGATTGTTGTCGAGAAAGATGACGTTGAGGCCGATGCTGTGCGGCTTCTTCGAGAAGAGAGCAAGGGAGCAATGTCGGTGGAATCCGGAATCTCATTGAAGACGGATGCATCGGTATTGATTTCAGAAGGGTCCACTGCTTCCACTGCTTCCACTTGTACTCCTTCTTTGCTTGTGAAGGAAGAACTTACAGAGCCTCAGGTAGAGGAGTTGGGAGCTGGGGAGAAGGGTGTTCCTCAAGATGTTGGAGTTTCCGAGAACCCTCCCGCAGCCAGTTCATGTTCTGATCAGGAACTGGTAGAACCTGAGATTAAAAGCGTTGAGGTTGAGTCTGATACTGTCAAATCCAAGCCATTAATTTCTGAGGTCAGTGATGCCGTGCCAATTGAGAATGAGGGCGTTGTTAAAAATCCGGAGCCCGCTGTGGCTGACATGCATGAGGAGAATGCGGGGATCATTGAGCAGGTTAGCCTCCCATCGTTGGAGGCTGATGATGCGCTCACCAGTAAATCTGCAGAACGACGGGCTCCTCATTTGTCAGACGTAGAGAAAGAGGAATTAATTGTGATAGATACACCCACAGCACCACATTCGGAAACAGCTGCTGGAAGCGAGGTCACCAGTGGGAGTGAGGTAGTGGCACTCAAGGAATCAGGTGTATCGGCAGTCGATGTAGAATCAGTAGATGAGAATGACGTAGCAGGTGTACAGGTCACTAGAGATGAACACATTCCTGAGGTAGTTCTTGAAATTCCTTTACTTTCAGATCTGGGTACATGTGTAATTGAAGACAGTCTGGTTTCTTCTCAACAAGACTCGGCGACTGTTTTGAACACAACCGAAGATATTCCGCAGACTGTTGCAACCGCGGAAGAGGTTTCACAGTCGGATTCATTATCGGTTGGCATGGTGGCCTTCCCCGCTGAGGAGGTGCATAGTAGGGATTCATTAGGCGCGCTGGAGAGCACCAGGGGTTCACTTGAGAATGGAAGTGAGAATTTGAGGCCATTGGAACATGTGGAGTCAGCGGCGAGCAATTCAAGTAAAGCGGAAGACACTCCTCCATCGGTAGTTGAAGAATCTGGATCCGATGTGCAGACCACTCCGTTATTGAGTAGTACCTCCGGACTATCCGCCACAGAAGCAATCGAGGCTGTGAACGCAGTTGAAAGCGAAGCAGATGCAGTGGAACCTGCAATTACTGGAAATCCTAAATTGGGGAGCAGGAAGAAAAAGAGCAGAAAAGAGTTGCTTGCACGCGCAGATGCAGCCGGTAATACGGCAGATCTTTACAACGCATACAAGGCACCTGAAGAGAAGAAGTCAGTGGAGGTGAAGCGAGCTGAGGTTTCTGGTGCGGATTCTTCAGGTAGTGATTCTAAGGATTCAGTTGTAACTCCAGACAAGTCTTTGCCGAATGAAGTGGATGACTGGGAGGATGCCGCTGAACTTCCAACGCCAACTATATCGGTCCCTCATGTTGTGGACACTGGTGATCGGAAATACACACGTGATTTTCTAATGACTTTCAAGGACCAAAATAGAGACTACCCTTCCAACTTTGAAATCAGGCATGATATTGCTGATGTTTTGCTGGACAAAGACAAACTTTTTAGTGATGGAATGACTAGTACTGCGCGTAATCTTGACCGGCAGCCTAGTGGTGGACAACGATTGGAGAGAAGAGGGAGTGGGATACAAGACGAGGATCGCTGGATCAGACAATCCGGACTTGTCCCATCCCCAGGAAGGAATCAACCTGGGGATGTACGCATGGGCATGGATATGTCAGGTAGCTATCGGTCTGGACCGGGTATGCAATCCGGTTTGATTTCGCAACTGCCGCAGCAATGGCCTGGGATGCCCTCCCAGGCTGGGTTTCCAAGTTTGATTCCACGAGGACCTGGCAACGTGCCTCTAGCACATTACATTACACCTGGTCCGCCTGCCCGGAGCTCGATTGGTGTGGATGGAGACAGGTGGCTTCGGCAACCAATGTCAGGAGCAAAGGGTCCTGGCCTAATCCCATCGCCTCGGACTCCTCTGCCTGCAATCCACAAGGCAGAGAACAGATACGAAGTGGGTAAGGTGTCAGATGAGGAGCAAGCGAAACAAAGGTTAATTAAGGGAATACTGAACAAGCTCACACCCCAAAATTTTGATAAGTTGTTTGTACAGGTTCAGGAAGCCAAAATTGATTCTGCCACCACACTCACTGGTGTCATCTCGCAGATTTTTGACAAAGCACTCATGGAACCCACGTTTTGTGAGATGTATGCTCAGTTTTGCGTCAAACTTGCTGTAGACTTACCAGAGTTCAATGAAAACGATGAAAAAATTACTTTTAAGCGTGTCTTGTTGAACAAATGCCAAGAAGAATTCGAACGTGGAGAAAGGGAACAAGAAGAAGCAGAGAAAGACGAAGAAGAACACATCGAAGTAAAGATGACAGCTGAGGAGAGGGAGGATAAACGTCTGAAGGCCCGGAGGCGAATGTTAGGAAATATTCGTTTTATTGGAGAACTCTACAAGAAAAGCATGTTGACGGAGAGGATCATGCACGAATGTATTAAGAAGCTGCTAGGAGAATACCAGAAACCTGACGAGGAAGATGTGGAGGCTTTATGCAAACTGATGAGCACAATTGGTCGAATCATTGACCATCATAAAGCCAAGGAGCACATTGATGCCTATTTCAGACGAATGGAAAACCTTTCGAACAACTCAAAGCTTTCGGCCCGTATTAGATTCATGTTAAAAGATGTCATTGAACTCCGGAGGAATGGCTGGCAGGAGAGGAGGAAGGTTGACAAGCCAAAGAAGATCGATGAAGTGCATAGAGATGCTGTCCAAGAAAGACAGAATGCTTCGCGTGGGGATCGTTTAGGGCGAGGTCCTAGCATGGGAGGAGGAGGTAGTCGGGGAAGGATGGGACCCGGCCCAGATTTTGGCATGCGAGGTCCTCCGTCGCCAATGTATTCTCCTGGTCCAATGAGTGCCGGTAAGCTTCATACGACCCTTCATATCTTTCTTTGGACTGTTCGATTTTAGAATGATGTTACCTGCGGCTACCACAATTTTGCCTTGTGCACGAGGTTGCTTACCTGGTTTAGTTGCAGTGTTTAGAGCCGTCACTTATTGTTATCATATTCGGTGTGCCAAGCTCGATTGTTAGTATTTGGTTCTGTACAATCTTTATCTTTAGGAGTAGTTCAGTTCAAGTGGTTCAGCTGCCAGTATTTCAAAACATGTAAGCGTTTATTGTTCCTCTTTTGGCCAGTTTTATCGTATAGAGAGCAGATTTGTATGACTCGATGTTTTCTGAACAGGACCACCTATGGGAGGAATGCGAAGGGCTCCATCTCCACAAGGGGGGATGCGCGGCGGGGGTGGGTTCGTTCAGGATGTAAGAATGGAGGATAGATCCCTGGTAATGGATGCTCGACCTGTACCAATGCCCCTGTCCCAGAGAGGTGCTGATGAGAGCAACATCACATTGGGCCCACAAGGTGGGCTCGGCAGGGTGGGTGTCCGCCAGCAGTCGTTGAGTTCTGGGCGAAGCGCGTTATTGGATGCGGCAACTACGTCAGGTCCTGATACGCGTCGTTTAAGTTTAGGGTCGAATTTTGGGCACGCCCAAGACAGAATGCATTATAGTAATCGAGATGAACTTCCAATGCGACCTTCCAGTGCAGAAAGGCCTAGATCGGCTGAAAGGCCCATTCTAGACAGACCAACTGGAGCTGACAGGTTGAGCCCAGGTCTACGCGACCTGCGAAGCACACCAGAGCAGCAAAGAGTCATGGAAAGATCTATTTCATTGAGTGCGGCTCCCAGCACTTACCAGCCGCATCGGACGGAGTCTACCGGACCCTTGGGGTCAGCTCGTCCATCTTCCGCGCCCTCCGCTTTGAGTGATGAGGAACTTAAGAAACAGTGGGAAGTGACCATCAGTGATTACTATAGGTGAGCCATTCTAAGGTGGACCCTTGGCTTCGGTCTGGTGTTCCGTTCAGGGATACATGGTGCTTTGGAAGTTAGAACCAACGTTGGCGGTAATTTTAGGATTGGTCGTTTCACTTTCGATGTTCGTTTATGAGCATATTTTGTGGGCATCGCTCTTGTCAGAGCCTCCTTTTGTATCAGAGTTCAGGATCGGTTTCGATCGTTCCATTGTACAGAGGTATCAGGAGTTTTACAAAATCTTTTAATTAGAGGTTGTTCTTCTGGGGTGCAGCGTGACAGACCTTAAGGAAGCGGCATCGTGTGTCGAGGAGCTGAAAGCTTTCAAGCGCCATCCTGAAATGGTGAATATCTGGGTGTCGGAGTCTTTAGAGAAGAAAGATAGAGAAAGAGATCTGCTCGCGAAGTTGCTTCTGCATCTTCACAGAATAGATCCTCCTCTACTATCGCGTGATCATATCGAAATTGGGTATGCTTTCTACATGGTTCACCTCTAAATGATTTGTCACTTAGCTTTCAAATTTTTCTGTGGGAACCTTCATCTTTTGTGTCGTGGTCTTGTTCTTCCACTTTGCAACGGCTCGTACGCATATCGTATTAACATAGATTGTTTGGGTGCAGCATTGACCGAGTTTTGTCAAGATTCATAGATACTGTAGTGGATGTCCCAAAAGCTCCAGAATTCTTGGGAATCCTGTTAGGTAGGCTAGTCTCTGCTGGAGTATTTACTTTGAATGAGGTAGGCAATCTGTTACAAGTGGCTGGTGAAAAACGTGGAGAAGTTAGAGAGGAGGGCCTCGCCTTGCCCATTTTTGGTGCTGTGTTGAACACCTATCGGGAGGAGAAAGGCGAAGAGCAGATGGTTGATGCTTACAAGAAATCCGGTCTCGTCGTGGAGAGCTTCGTGCTACCATCTGAAAACAGGGCAACTACGGTGGAGCAGTTTCTGGAAAGAAAGAACTTACAGAAGCTGCAGCCGGTGAGAGAAAGGCTGTCTACGTTCCGTGCAAATTCCTGATTAGCATTTAGTAGGACGCAGCGACAGCTAGATCATTACAATAGTGAGTTTCATGAGGGTTGGTCGATATCGACCTAATGGATCAGCTGGTTGATTCTGTCTGCAAGAACATGGAGCTGATGTTTTAGTTCCCTGTGTATAAACAGATTTTGCCTTTGGAAAGGCATATTAAAGATTCTCTTGGGAGGATATTGCCAGTTATGGATATTTTAAATGGATTGAAGTAACTTTTGTGTACTTCATTTCAGTTCCAAGTCAGCTGCATCAGATAGTAATCATTGTCGCAGTCATTCTACTTTTTAAGTCAGCGTGTGCGCCGTTTAACCTACTGTTGCACTTTGGCTACCACCCAAAAGCAAAGTTCGAAGGTATCTACGATGTGTTAGCACAAGCTAACAAAGACATTTCTTTCCTATGGAAATTTGCAGTTTAAATATACCTAAAACAGTGCTTCACAGATTTGGAAACACCTTTAAGCCAGGAAGGCATCAAAGTGATCACTTTGTTATTGTACAAACTTGTCACCATCGCTAGAAGAGTTGGTCCTTCATTTTCCTTCTCATGAAGCAAAAATAATTTGCAAAAAATGACACTTCCAAATTTTAAAAAATATAGTCTTTGTTAAGATGCATATGCCTATGGACAAGTTAGAAGCAATACAACTTCTCATTTAATAGGAAAAATTGAGACAAAAAGAAAAAATGAAAATTTGGATTACTCTCCTGAACTATGGTAGAATGATGTGGAAAATTAGTCTAGATTTTGTAAACAAAGAAGTTGATAATGGCAGAGCTTTGCTTTGTTCTTGGGAAAAAACTTGGATGGCCAAGGAAATGTTAGGTCTTAGGTACCACAAATCCATGAGGTGGAATTTAATTCCTCCTCATGGGGACATTATTGTCCACCATAACATAATAACTAATATACCATAACATTTAGCATGGCAACTATGATGGTGCTTCATCTACCAGTCAATTTTTTTGATCTTAGATCTTTGAATACCATAGGCTTAGCTTTTTAATCAATGCATTGGATATATCCCTAATGTGTCAAATATACACACATATATACATTTATATTTTCTTTGTAAATAAATTATTCTTATTTTTTAAAAAAATTGTATAAATTATATATTTTTAATATATATTTAAAAAAAATTCAAAGGTAATTTTCTTTAAAAATTATGATTATTAGCATTTATTTTAATTACATAGAATTCTAACTATTTTCAATAATATGTATGAAGAGCTTATTTTTTTATTTAAAAAAATATTTTCATTTCTTATAAATATTATGGCATCTAATTGTAATAGAAAAATTCATATAAGATTCTAAATAGAATATCTATTAATACTATTATTATTTTAACTCTCTAGACTATTCTACAAACATCTTATTTTTCAAGAACCCATGTATTTATTTTTAAATTTGTCTACCTTAGATTTTTTCTTATGTGGCTCAATTTTAGTTTTTATATAGTTGCTTTAATTAAAATCAACTATTAAAAATATTTAATTTTTAAAATTAAAATAAAAAACAATATAATTATTGTTCTAAAAGGAATATAGATCTAACATCTTCTAACATTATTTGTTTTTTTCTTTTGAATATAATATATTAAACAAATAATTTCCAAAACTTTGGTGATGCATTAAAGAACAAAAATGAAATATTTTTCTTATTTGTTTTATGTCAAACTTCAAAGTAGGGTTGCAAAAATCAATTATATTTCTAAACTAAATTTAATAAGAATTAACTTCATTGTCTATGTGTTATACAATTCTATTTGAAACTCACATCATTAAGACTTTTAAACTTAAATAGACATGTTTTGTGTTTCTTGTGTAATTTTTAAATAACCATATTTAGAAAAATATAATATATATATATATATATATATATATATATATATATTCTAAAAACCTCTTATATCTTGGCATAAAGATTTTGATCACATTTGAATAATTTCTTATGTAAACACTTAATAAATAGTTTAGAACCCAACAAAGAATTTTATTAAAAGTGCTCATGTAGTCAAAGTCATTTCATCATCTTCATCAATGCATTGATTTTAAAAATAATGCAGTTATATGTATGTTTACATAGGGAGTTGATAAAGTCACACCCCAATATTGGTCAAGCCATACCCTCCTCCCTTGCCATCTCATCATTAATTTTGTCCATCCTCCACCTTTGTCCCCTGTTCTCTATCTCTTGTCCCTCACTTCCTAATCCCCTACCCCTATTCTTCAATCCCTTATTCCCTAGTCCCTAATCTTCCTTGTTCTCTAATCCAACACATACAATTATTTGAAAAAAATAATTCAAAATTTAATTATATACAACCAATTTCTCACAAGTTCACATTCAAATATAAAATTTAGAATGTAAAAAAGTTAATCAAATAATATTCTACTTTTAAGATATTCTTATGAAATGTTTTGATAGAAGATGAAGAAGAAATTTACAAATATTTAATTTTGATTACTTTTATATTTTTTTGTATTATTTTGAAAAACATGTTTATTCAATTTTATTCAAAATTTAAATAAGATAATAAAGCACCATTCATAAGTCTCATAAGATAATTTAATATATTTTTTAAACTTGCAAGCAAAAATGTTGACAAGCCAAAAATAAATCTATTATTGATCATTTTAACTCTTACTTCAAGAGTATTTTTTCCTATCTTGCAAGTTCTACTAGTCTTGAAAAAAAGAAAAAAGAAAGATCTATAAATGATCTTAGGTTTTATTCCATGTAAAAAATATATATATATATATATATATATATATAAATTTTATTTTTAATTACATCATGAATGAAATTAATATGATTGTACATCCTTGTAAACAAATAAATGTCTAGGATAATCTTTCTTAATCTTGATAAATTTGAAATTTTCATTTCCAAAAAAAATAACTATTATATTTTTGAAATATCAAATAAAAATATAAATTAGTATTTTATTTTCTCAAATTAAATAATTGTGCTGAAATATATCATTTAAAATAAATAAATAATGAGTATTACATTGAATTTTGGATACATATATATTTCAATTACAGGTAATTTGTTTTAATAATTAGTCAGTTGTTTAGAATTATAGCTTTGTGATTTTAATTTAAAAAATATATTTTCAAGAAAAGTACCCTTAAGCCATTTAAATATTTATAAAAGTTTCAAATGTGTGTGTATATATGTTTATATATATACATGTATGATGCATTAATGCTAGTGTATATAATTCTATTCCTTACGATGGATTAATATTTATTTCATTTTGGTTCCACATCAATTATTCAACTACACATTTGTTGTAAGTGAGTTTTCAAAATTGAAAAATCTATGTACAATTTTGAATCTCATGTATGTATGTAATATTTTCATGAAATTATTTTCATATATAACATTAGTCAATCTTTTTTATGTTTTTATAATGGAATATACAATATATTTGACATTTATTAAAAAAATTATTGTTAGTCTTTTAGGATTGTATCAACAAACAATATACGTCTTCTTTGATTATAATTCTTCTACTTAAAAAATGTGCAACCAATCTTCAATAAATCATTTTAGAAGTTTTATATTTATGTAACGGGTAGTATTAGGACTGGGAATAAGGAATGTAGAATAAGGGACTAGGGAACAGAGGATTGAGGAACAGGGATGAGAGATTGGAAAACAAAGAACTGGGAAACGGGGACAAAGAACTAAGAAACGGGGACGAAGGATTGAGAAACAAAGGACTAGAAAACAAGGACGCGGAATAGGGAATTGGGAAAGAAGGATGCGGAACAAGGGACTAGGAAATGGAGATGAGGGACTGAGAAATGAAGGATTAGGAAACATGGATGGGGAATAGGGGACTGGGAAATAGGGACAAGGGATTGAAAAACAAAGGACTAGGAAAAGATGTACTGGGAAACGGGGAACTCGGAACATAAATTCAAGCTCAAGAATGTATGCAAATTTATGGTTTGTATGCAAAGACCATAGTTATCAACGAATTGAATATTTAACCAATTGTTCCATTACCATATCAAATAAACTTAGATTTCTTAAAATACACATGTTGCATATTGAAAGAAGAGTATGTTCCTAATTCCAATCAACAAGCTATTTATTTATTTTCTTTTCAACGAACTATTTACCAGATTTCAACTGAGGAAATTCCAACAACAATTCCTGTTCAACCCATTCTTCCCATCACATCACCAAAGCTGGCCACACTACCAAAAATCCTGCAAATTGCAAAAGAGAACCATCATCTTGCCGACAACCAACAAACATAGGTGTGGTTATCTTGCAACACGAACAGAGAGGCGCCATGGAGCAAGTCTACACTGCAACGGTGATGGGATAAATCCCACAGGGCAAGAAAGTGGTACTGGGAGGAGCATTTTGGTTTGCTCGGTGCCTGAGTGGCCTTGCTGTTGCCTTTGAATGTGGATCACACCAACTGAGAGGTTTGTTTGTGAGGAACTTCATTGACTGACTTATCCGCATCCAAGAATGCACAATTCTCGTTGCATTAGCAACCGAGGTTGCTTTGATGAAGAGTGAGTTTTCTACAACTTCGCATCCCCATCAAGTTGAGCTTCCAATCCACAAGTTTCCTTTTTCACTTGGGGTCTCGAAGGAAATGGAGCTCCAAATCTGGTTTTGACACCGCATAAGACGCGAGGGAATTGGAATTGAGTGGGAGGCTTAGAAGAGTTGAACAGTCAGTGACGCTCACATATGAGCTTTTGGGCCACGTAACTTATTCCATCCATTTGCCACGAGCTCCCTGGCGGAACTGCTCTCACACAATCCACCAGCAAATCACCACCCAGTACCGGTGTTCATCAAAGTTAGCCGTGGATTTCCTCCGTTTCATTGCTTCTCGTGTAGTTGGGTACGTAGCAGCTTTGATTTTGCGAGCAGGGGGGAATGTGATGAGGCAGCTGACTTTGACGGACGTAGGAGAGGGGTTGTTATCGAGGATTAGAAGCGACAGTGTGCTGTGTGAGGTCGATTCCAGTTGAACATGAGCTTTTGAGCTTGGATGCTGCTTTCTTGATTTTCACTTGTGTCTGTTTGGGACGATTGTGCAACGCGCGACTGGGAGCACGACCAATTCGTAGCCATGTCAGGGGTAGCGATGTTACAAGCACAACGCAGCCAAGTAAATGTGATGCGAAGCTCCAGTGCTCCACCTCCGTCCTGTAACGGACTATCACTGCGAGCTCATAATTTGGCTATGGCGGGTAACACAATGTTCCTCCCCAACGTGGTCTACTTAAAATTGAACTCACCGGCAAGGGGAAGAAAATGTAGAAAAATGAGTAGCTGGGTTATCAAAGCAGTAGCAGGGTCAGAATCCGCAGTAGAAACCAGTGGGGAGGAAAGAAAGAAGGTAGTGGTGGTCGGGGCTGGATGGGCGGGGTTGGGCGCCGCTCACCATCTCACGAAACAGGTTAGCGGCTCCCAAATTTGAAAACCTTCAATCCCCTTTCCCTCCAACAATTCTGATCACTCCCATCAGGTTTATATGTAGGGAGGTAGCAATTCAGATACGCTTTTCACACGTTGTGTAGAAGGATATCAGATCAGAAGTCCGTTGTTGAAAACAGTTTCCTGGCTTCTTCAAATCTGGGGAGGAACAGGTTCATGTTTAACCTGAGCATGCTTGACATACAGGGCTTCGATGTAACTCTACTAGAGGCAGGGGCGCAGCCTGGAGGGCTTGTTGCAGGATGGAAAACCCCTGGGGGTCGATCAGTCGAGGTCGGCATTCATGGTAGAATTTGCTGGCCTTCTTCCCCACCTCTTCCTTAATTTTTGAACCTTGTATTGGATCTCTATTGCATGTCAAGAAGCAATAGAAATTCAATGCCAGCTGTCTGCCATACCCTGGACACCCAATTAATTCAGAGGAATATGGATTGGCATGGATGCAAGACTTCACTTCTTAGAATTTTGGGGGTATGGTGTCAATAATAATTGGTTCATTGAGATGCTACATATATTTCTGGCAGGATTTTGGTACCCATACAAGAATATATTCGCTTTAGTTGATGAGCTGGGATTGAAACCCTTCACGCAGTGGACAAAGTCTGCTCAATTTTCTCCTGCTGGCTTGGAGGTGAAAGTCTACACCAGCTGTAGGTCATGAAATGGTAGTCATGTATACACTTTCGGTTGAATCTGGACGTTTCTGGAGTGATCGTTAGATGAGTTGTGAAGTGATGTCTATCCGTGTTTCTGGTTCAAATTCAGGTAGAATCGCCAATATTTCAAGACATGCCTCAATTACCAAGTCCGCTTGGTACCTTTGTCTACACACAGGTAAATCCTTCTTATTAGCTATAGTCCCTTCTCTGTCGCGTTCTTAAGATAGATTCACTATAGTCACTATCATTCAATGTTCTGAATTACAATATGGGCATGGCCCAGACTAAACTCCTGATTCTTTGCTTTTAATTGCAGTTCAAAAGGTTGTCATTACTAGACCGCTTGACGGCCCTACCTCTCATGTATGCAGGTGACACCTTGATTGCTTCTTTCTTATAACTCCCTGGTGTCTAGAAATTAAACTGCTTCTTATTTTTCAGCGGTTATTGCTGTGATCATTCAATGGAATAGTACTTCGAGGAGGATGCATGTAACCTAAAGTCGTATCTATTTCTTGCTTTCAAAAAAAAGTGCTGTACGCAACGCCTCCTAAACTATTCACAACTCTGGGTTATTGATACTTATATTCAAAATCTTAATTTCCTGAGAAAAAAAATAGTTGTCCAGAGCATACTAATTGAAGTATCAACTTCATACTCTGACAACTGTTGATAAGATTGTCTTTGAACTTTCCTCTAGTCTGTGAAGACTAACTGCAATTGTATGTGGCAGTGGTTGATTTCGACAACAGTAACCGCGCTTGGGAAGATTATGACTCAAGTACATCTTTTACTCCTGAACACTTTAGTTTTGCCGTGAGTATCCATGTTCAGTCAAACCGAGTTCATGAGGTATATAGTAGTAGATGGACTTGAACTCACTATGGTATGATTTGGCAGGAAGTGCACGGGAGCTTTTCCGTGAATTTGGATGCTCAGAGCGAGTGTACAAAGATGCATTCAACCCCATGCTTTTGGTGGGACTGTTTGCCCCGGGAGAGCTTTGTAGCGCCGCTGCTTGTTTGGGCATGCTTTACTACTTCATTCTAGCTCACCAGGTTCTTTCTATGAGCCTTATAACTCACTTTCTTAACCCTAAAGTGGCATATATTCAAGGACGTAAAAAGGATCGATTTTAAATTAGACGTGGTACATAATGAGCGTTCTCTTCCCTTAGTTTCCAGCCTTGAAAATTTTGAATGATCTTTTTTGCAATGTTTGTGTTTTGACCTTGAATTTCATTCAAAATTCGAGCAAACATAGTAAACTGGCTTTTCCTGCGCATAGCTTTATTTTCTACTCAAGAGATAGCACTGCCTGTGCAGCCAGACTTCGACGTTGTATGGTGCCGTGGCACCGTTGGAGAAATGATATTCAAGCCGTGGGTAGCGGCCATGCAAAACAGCGGGTGTCGTTTTCTCTCTAACAAACGCGTTTCTGACCTAGAGCTAGATGAAGCAACAGGCTCTGTAACGGGTGTTCTGTGCGGCGAGGAGCGCTTCCCAGCCGATGCTGTCATCTTCTCCGTAGGCATCTCAGCCATGCAGAAAATCGTTCCAAACAGGTATTGATTGGCAAATCATAACTAGAATTCATTCAACGGTACTTCTATGGGGAGTACTTTATGTCCTGCGTTAACACATCAAATTGTAGCTGAATATGGTGTTAGCAAATTATTATTGTGTACCCAGCGCTAAGTGTATCTACAATGTACCGCATTGCAGTAAAGTATTGCGGACGAGGGAAGAGTTTGTTAACACGGCCAACCTAGGTGCTGTGGACATATTAGCAGTCCGGCTTTGGCTTGATCGCAAGGTGGTTCCTCTTAATCTGCATGCTGTTCAACTTCATGAAAATGCAATCCTTCAGAACTTCAACACCATGTACCTGTAGTAGCTATATCTCAGTAGGAAATTCCAGGAGATTCTTTTATTCAACGGGTCTCCAAGCTAATCTCGAAACATTTTGAAGTCCAATTTCCTATTATGCCTCTCTAGACGACCGAGTGGCTCATTGTTGTTGATTTCAAAACAGATCCCTATTAAAATGCCCAGCAATGCATGCTTTGGGTTCGACACTACAACAGGGTGGACCTTCTTCGACCTCAATGAGCTTCACGACGAATACAAAGATGAACCTGGCACTGTAGTCGAAGCTGACTTCGTAAGTTATTTTGCATCATTTGTTAGATACTGTAGAGCTTTCTTGAGTTTGTGTAATCGCAACTCATATACATAACAGAATACTCATTGTGTGAACTTACTGTTAGATGGTAGCTCTTCAGCCATAGATTCCTCATTGTACAGGCGATAAGCGATCTGGCTGTTTTTGAATTTGTGACAGTATCATGCGAACCAGTTCCTACCGCTGAGTGATGATCAGATCGTAAAGAAGGTCATGGATTATCTTGCAGTCTGTATTCCTGAATTCGGAAATGCAAATGTGGTTGATCAAGCTGTTGTTCGTTTCCCAAAAGCTGTAACACATTTCTTCCCTGGTAAGTTGTTCGCCACCCGTAAGAAAACTAGAACTCTTGTCATGATAATGGAAAATGTAAACACCACGATCACTACGATTCTCCGGTCCAAGCACTTGTCCTCTGGGTGGTTTTACAACTTAAGTTTCGAATTTGTGATCCAGGTTCATATCAATATCTGATGCGTGGTACTACAAGCTTTCCCAACGTATACATGGCAGGGGACTGGATTGTGAATCGTCATGGGTCATGGTCTCAGGTATGCAACAATGATCAATCGAAGGCAACTTGGAAACTCAATCCTTTAAGTAAATGTCGTAGTTTCTAAAGCTATGCTTTGCATGCATAGCAAATTTGGGCTAATTCTATGTAGCCAATTGAATTGGCAGGAAAAAGCCTTCGTGACTGGACTTGAAGCAGCTAACAGAGTGGTGGACCAGTTCGAACAAGGTGAGCTTGCTTCAATTATCCCAGTGGATGCAGACGAACCCCACGTTCAAGAACTTCGCCGGGTTAATGAAACTGCCAAAGCGCTTGTAAAACAGCTGCCTTTCGCCAACTACTTCCTTTGATTGCACCCAAATTCGGAAGATTTGTCGATTATTTTCACACTAATGTCCACTCAACTAATTAGCATACATGAATGAGAGACGGTGTTGTCATTCTGTTAAGAAATCACGGCGTTAGTTGTATCATCCCGAATTGCTTGGCAAACAATAACAGCATACCTCAACTTTTTGGTTAGCTTCTTATTGGTTAGATTAGCAGAAATTTTTTCTACATGGAAGTTGGCTCTCAAACCTGGAACCCTACACAACTGAAGTGTTAGCAGTAGTTTAAATTTCATCAAATTCTATTGTTTTAATGATCATGCTTTTAATGAATTCCAACTGCTTATTGGGCTTATTTTTTAGATACTACTATTGGGATTAAAATACCATCAAAAATCATTTAGCAAGTAATGAGTTACTTTTGATACATTTAAATAGACAAGATTGCATTCAACTCATATATGTATATATATACATATATATTAAAAAGTTCTATATATGATCAATGTTTTTCTTGTGACTTAAAAATTTATCTAACAATATGACTTATAAAACAAGTGAAGTAATTTATAATAAAAATAATTAATAAACAACAAAAATATTGGTAAGAACATATAGTATATATGAATGACTTCTAGCTTTAAATCTATGAAAAATATGTACATACATATAAAAATTTTACAACTGATTCAAAAACATCATTATGGTTATTTTAATGTATATTTAAAAAAATTCATATTATATTCTCATTTTCTTAGTGTGCAATTTTGGTTTGCATATAAATTTATAAATTATAACCTATCTTGCAAGATGTATATTCCACATGTCTCTATATAGCATATAAGAATTTAATGATGAACTTGTGCTTTGGATGGAAAATCCTACAAATGAACCTAATTACAATATTTTTTAATAGAAAACTATAAAAATCCGTCCACTTGCTACAATTCCTTTGATTTTTAATTTTTATTTAAGATAATTTATTTTGCAAGTTAAATTAATCCATCTTTGAGCTCAAACAAAATCCTTGAATATGATATGAAGAAATCATCTTTTAGATCTTTATTGACTTTTAGTGTTGCAATGCCACCAATCACAACTTACACTACAACTACAAAAGAATAACTCTTATTATTGTCTTCTTGCATTTTGATAATTTATTGTTTATTGGAAATTATCCAGATCAAATCTCTACTATTATAAAAAAAAATTATTTTTAATACAAGATGAAGTATTTAAGTTCTATCAAAGCCTACATTACAGTGGAATTTTCTTTTTTTACAACAAAAATCACCATTCATCAAACCAACTAAATTCAAGAAATTCTTAATAATGCTAACATATTTGAATGTCATCCTATTACAACTCCATTTCTAAAAGAGTTCTTGCTCTCTCTTAATAACAATACTTTAGACTTTAATCAAGAAGCTTATTATCACAAAGTTAGCTAATTATTATATCTTATCAATACACAACCAAACTTCTTGTATAAAGTTGGATTTATGAGCTACTTTATGTCCTATTTAAAAGATGCTCATTAATTTGTACTCTTTTATATCCTAGAATATCTTAACCACATGGCTAACTTTGGCATTGTGTATCAACACTACTTTTCTTTTAAATTCTCTAATTCTTCTAATAGATTCTATTTTTTAATTTTATAGTTTTATTTATATAAATAAGACTATTTGTAAGGATTCTTGCTATAGAATAGAAGACTTTATGTTCTTACTTGCAAAGAAAGTTGTACCTTGAGCAAATTTCAAACAATCAATTGTTTCTTTTTCTACAAAAAAAAAAAAAAAAAAAAAAAAAAAAACCGAATAATAGAGACTTAAAAGATATCTATTTTAAATATATCCTATAAGAACTAAAATTATTGAGTTTCTTTTCTAAAAAGGTTATTATAAAAATTAATAATATTGGAGTTGTATCTATACCAACAAAAATAGATGTATACTTATATTGTAATAATATAAGTATAATTAAACTAGTAAATAATTTAATTTTTTAAATTTTTTATGAAATTAATCTATATTTACCTACTTCTATTTAATCATATAAGTAACTATTAAGATAAATGTATGTGTCTGTGACAAATAATCAAGAATTTGAATATCTTATTTGTTAGCACAAATATGATAATAAACACATTTGGTAGCGAGTAATGAATCTTGCAAATGCAACAAAGAGAGTTGAGGCTTTTCATCAAGAACATTGATTAAAATCAAGACAAAGAATAATAAATCTTTGCTATGAAAGAAATAAATTTTAAGAAAGATAGTATTCTATCTTCTATCTTTGTTTATAATTTCTATGTATTTTTAGCACTTAGGATTTGGAGAATCAACAATCAAAATATTCAACTCTAAAGCTATCATTTTTTAACTTATTAGATTAGACATTACAATTTTCACAACCTTTAAGATAATATAATTGAGATGATGTTCTTCAAGAATGATATGTTCTTTCTTGAATAGATGGCAAGATACAACATGTTTGATATCACAACCTTAGAAAAAACTTCTAATATATGGTGATTTTATTAGAAATAGGAACAACACCTAACAATATTCCAAATATTTTATTTTAAAAGAATTATGAAGGCTTCATCAATTATCAAATAACAAGGTGGTTTTTTTGCCCTAGTATAGAATACTATCAATGCCTAAAGCGACCTATCAACCAACTTCAAAAAGAACAAATATTAAAATATGTAGTAAATATAATTTATAAAATCTTACATTTCTTCAACATATAATGACTACTCTTCTTGGAATTTATCCCTAAAAGAAGAAATAGTATCATGAATATATATATATATATATATATATTTCAATAATTACTTATATAATTAAGTAGAAATAAGTAAAACTAGATTAATTTTATAATATCTTTTAAAAAAACTTTCTAAAAGCTTCTTAGACATAACTTTAATTTTATACATATTTGTAGTTAATTGATAGGTTAGAAACTTGGTCAATAAATTGGTCATGTATCACATATCTTAATAGCTTGTGAAACAAGTTAACTATGTGGCATACATATAGAAAACTTACCTTGCAAGTTAAGAAATATATCTTCTAAAGTCAACATATGTTAGAAGTCCTATAGAACATTGCCATGTAGCTTTTAATTAGATAGTATATATGGAGGCAAGAGTAAAGCCTTCTTCTTTCTTGTCAATGCCTTTCTAGTTCTTAGACTTGTTTCAAGATTTTTTACTCTTTTTGTCTTCGGCAATAGTCATAATACTATATTACATTTAAAATAAATATTCATTCTTCTTGAGTTATATAAGTGTGATTTAAGATTTCTTTTGTTTTGATTTATGTCCTTGATACATGTGTACAAAAGAATTGCCCTATTTTATAATAATTAGGATTTATGACCATTTATATATTTAATTATGAATATAGTCTTAAATAATTTATGATACTTAATTTCATATACTTATGAGTATATATGTTGATTATTCTATTGTTAATAAATTTTTCTTAGTAAGATCTTTGATATTATTACTTGAGTAATTTTTTTATAGACATGTATCAACTTTACATATTAGAAGGTAGTGTCTTGCTAACACAAGAGTAATGTCCCGCTATTCCTTCTGTATAATTAGATTAATCAATAATAATTTTTATTTGCTAAATATTTTGTTGGTATTTTATTTTTTCAAATCGATTGGAAGTTTTTTTAAATTGCATGAAATTGGTTAGAATAGTGATATAATTTTTTAATTGATTTAAATAGTGATATAATTTTAAAATTTATATTTGTGTATATATTTTTAAAAAATTATTAATTTTTTTTAATTACATAATAATTTTATTTATTTATGAAAGTTTTAAAAAAACTTATTAGATCATAATTCTTTAAAAAAAAAGTTAAATGAAAATTATTGAATAATATTATTAATAGTAAAAAATGTTGAAAATATAAAATTCAAAAAAACACTCATCTTATATAAGGATGTTTATCTGAATTTGATATAGAAAAATCAAATATTCAATAGCATATTTTAAATATTATAAAGCACCCAATACATCTTGTAAAATATTAGGATTCTTGTAGAGTAATTTAAATATGAATCAAAAAATTATATCACTATTTAAATCAATTTATTTTTTATAAATTTTAAAATTATATCACTAATTTATCAAATTTTATTATAAAAAATAAATTTATATATTTTTTAATATAATTAAATATAACATTATGACACATATTCATAATACATAGTAAAATTATAGATTATGTGTATGTACATCATAATTTTTAATTTTAATAGTTTTACAATATATATATATATATATATATATATATATTGTAAATATATATATTGTAAATATATATATTGTAAATATAAAAAAATCTAAATGAAATGAATTGTTTATATTTCTTTGAAGAACTTAAAAAAGCGCTGCCATGTTAATCCTACTGTAATAATGATTGTAAAGTAGACAATCCATTTTCAATAATATAAGTATTTCAATATATATATATAGTAAGTGTAAAAATGAAAAAAAATAATTCTTGTGTAGAGAAATAGAAATCAAGACAATTCTAAGTTTTTTCACATAATTTTCTCCAAAATTGGAATTTATATATACGTTTTAGCTAAAGATTCTTTTTGATCCATTTTTGACATATATGCCAACCTAATTCCAACCAATTATGGATTACGAAACCAAGAATCTAACTTTTACAAAACTAATAATCCAACATTTATAAAACCAAGAAGTATATCACATGTTTATGCTATTATTCTACCTCATCCAATCAACAACTTCTATCTATATCAAAACACATCTATTTTAGATTGTGATATTTTTTTGTGATTAAAAATATTATAAACTTAACTAACTTCCAATCTATTTTTGATCACAGCTTAATATCATTTTAACTAGTTCCTATCCTATTTTCAACCAAAAAATGTTAAACCATGGTTGACAATAGGTTACTAGACTAATAGAAATACTCTACTTTATAGATTGGAAATGAGAGGAGGGAGGGAGGAGGGAGAGAAGGGAGGATTTGATAATGGATTGGCTAGCTTATTGCTCTAATATTTTAATTTCAAGGCTTATCCACCTCTAAACATGAGCTGTTAAAATTCTTCTTCAGAATATTATAAAATACCATATATAATAAATCTTTTTTTCATATCACTCATTTTCTTATTGTTAACAGATGCCATGCATTTATCTGGATGGCTTTTGAAATACGCCACATGTAATATCACTTTGCTACAAGGCACCTTCACTCACTTGAAAATCCCACCAAAGCAACATTAGACTCCTAACATGAATAACATCATAAAAATTAATAACTCTCTCCTTATAGCCTATTGTGTCCCTCCGATCCCAAGCTGAGAAGAATGAGCTACGACCCTAAAGCATGAAGCTCCCGTAGAGGTGTGCGATACCAATCCCTGTTGGTTCACTATCCAAGGCTGTCACAATATTCTCCATATCAGGTTGCCATCACCAAACATCACAACTTCTATCGCCTCACATCACACTTCTTCTTGAAGAGATGCGCTACCACCTCCAGGTTATCTCTTTTCAATGCAAGGTCATCATCTAGTGTTATTTGCTATGGTGGGCTGAGAAGACTCACTTTCTTCTCTAGCCCTTTCCTATGCCTAGCTAATCACTCTTCACTCGAGTAGTCTAGAGACGAGTCTTGGTTGCTTCTTTGATATTCGAGACCCGATGTATTTAATGGATCCATTGACTCCCTTCACATCCCCGTGTCAAAGCTATTTCAAGTCAAGGAAAGTGGCCCTTCCATCTTCTCCTTTTGCCACCATGTCTTAAGCATCCGTTGGGCGTTGGAAAGCTCTTAGCTCACAAATGACATTTGCCAGTGCAAGTATGTGATGCTTCAAACCCTTATACCCTCTCCCACTGTGAGCATTGGAAAACTCTTAGCTCACAGACGACATTTGCTAGTACAAAGATGTAACTCTTCAAACCCTTATACCCTCTCCCTCGTTGAGGAGGTCAATGTCCTCATTGACATTGTGGTTTCTTTTTGAAGGCGTCATCATACTATGAAGAGTGGAACTCATTCTTTTTTTTGCCTCAGGTGTCTTTGCAAAATCTGCACCCTTAACCCCAGGCAGTGTGAAGGCTCTCTTCTCTACCTGGCCCTTACTTCATCCTTGAAATTTTTGGATCTTCATAATAATATTAATAATGAGATGGGATGCTACTCCCTTTCTGTGTACTTGTACCTTTTGCCTCCAACTTTTCTACCAGTTTCCTTCTACAAACAGTTTTGAAAGCCCACCTCTCCAATAGTGGGTCACAGGCACTTGCACTCCTGCGAGACTTGCCTCGGCCGTTGAACCCCTGAACTGAGATCCACCTCACCTCACTACTCTTCTCTACCTTATGGAAGTGATTTGGGGTCATGCAACAAGAAATCTGTTTGAGAAAAGCCAACCGTTTAGGCGTGGCACTTAGGATCTTGTATCCACCTCATACAAGCTCCTTACGGTTGCCCTCTACGGAGTCCCCAGGGCTGGAATTCTTTCAACACTCTTCATACTTTCAAGAAACTTACACCTCAGTCTTACGACCCTAAGGCCACTAAGTCTGCATTTATCTGGATCTTTCACGGGAGTAGATTTGAAATAGTTGTTATGGTGGGACTGAGTAGACATGCGTCGGTTTCAACTTCGTCGTCGTTGTTGTCTCGGCCGCGCCGCTCTGCACAACAGGGTTGTTGTTGCCACCAGAGCCCGCATCGTCTGCGAACAGGGCAGTAGAGCCCCCGACCCTTCTCCGCCACAACATGCGCCATCCTGACTACCCGGCCGTGGCTTTTCAACCACGCTGACAGACGCCTGACAGGAGCGGGTCTACTATTCGCTTCTCCGATTCGCCTTCTTGATCGTGACGCACCAGGAAAATCCTTTCCCGTCTGTCGACACGAAGGCGGGTGGTTAGGGAGCTAGAGTGACCAGGCAAGTTGGGTGCGTGAGCGGTGCGTAAGGTTGGTGTGTGTGTGTGTGTGGCTTGGAGGTATTGGCTGTTCCTTGTCAGAGGAATAAATGGCGACGTCAAACTCCGATGAGGGACAAGGAGTCTGCATCTATGCATTGGCGGCATCGACCTTATGTTGTGACAGCCACGAAGGGAGTCGCTACGGCGTGTCAGAGAGTGTGCGGAGAAACGGGAGATTCTTCCGAATGTGCTATCGGTTTGACGAAGCATTGGCTTTTTATCCTCAAAGTGTTAAGTGCTAGCCGCTAGGGGGTTGAGTAGGCCATTTTGCGGCAACAGTACCTTAATCATGACTGTCGGACCTTGAGCTGCAAAATGTGGCAACAGAATTCATGTTGTCGATTCTGCAGTGGACGTTCTTGCAGTGACAATGATCAACAGCAACGCAGAGAATTGGTGACTGAAGGGTAGGATTAATTGGAACATTTGTTTCATGTTCGCCTCTCTGAATCCGCGCTGGTCAATGGCGCCAAACAACAACAATCTGCACCGCTCAATGTAAATGGTCGGCACCACAAGATTGATCGACAGAAGCGTAGGTGCGCAAGAAGCAAAATCACAGCACGCTTGTGCACTGCTCACGTAATTTTATTCAATAAGGAGTGGTCACAGCGCGGGTGCCTGGCCAATCAATGAAGTCCACAATCCACCTCATCACCATATGAACAATTGCATTTCACAACGAGAAGAAAACCAACAGTCCTCACTTTTCACAACTCTGACGATATTGAGTCTAAAATTCAATCAAGGAGCGGGCGAAATGTACTGACGATCGACACACCCCGGCAACCTTTTCCCACTCCCCTGCACGACTTGGTGACATTCAAAGATAATCACCAAAGGGCTCTGCATGTGTTTTGGAGCTTCTGGAGCATCGCTCTAGAAATTACTTGATTTTATTTTTAAGGAGGTTCGTTGTTAGAAATTGATTCCTTCGAACGTCTGCGAGAAACTCCAGTTCTCTGAAGCCGCATCGTAGGAGACTGCTTCTGCGCCATCGCTGGTGACAACCCTGAAGGAGAGTGCCTGTCCAACGAGCGCGCTATTCCCGCGGAACTCCCATTGCTGTCCCCAGTTGCGCGACATGGTATACCAGCCAGTGCTTGAGCCCTTGAGAGAAAGCTGCTGAACGTCGCCAGCTCCGCCGACGTTCGTGACGAGCACCAAAATGAAGTAGGGATTTCCATTGATGGTAAAACGCATGCCTCCGGACTTCCGGCATGGCACTCTGTGGACGAATCCATGAAACTGTCAGCCTTTAGTCATAAATTATGAAACAGACGATTGTTTCGTGTAGAGGAGTTCCAAAGAGGGAATGGTCACAAGAATGGAGGGAAGCAATCTACCTTCTATATTTCACAGGGATGACACCGCCAGCTTGTTGAGCGATTTTGTTAAAGACGGGCTGTGAGAGGTCGAAGTGTTGCTTCGGGGAATCGCACCATCCTCCTTCGGAACCCGAAGGACAGAAGTTGGTGGCAGTGACGACAATAGAAGAACCTTTATAACAATACTTGGAACCGCTAGGATCGCATGCGAGCTCGAAGCAGGCTCCACACGTGAGGCCCGAATTAAAAAGCGCCTGGCTAAGAGCCGCCGTGCTGGTGCCGTAGCCTGTGCTATAAAGATTGCCAAATCCGCAAGCTCCACCTGCACGAAAAATTGCACGAGAAAATCGATCGATGAGCGCAAGCAATCACCTCACGGATTAGAAGACTCAATTTGCTGTTCCGATCAATTTACGTGAGCGCAGCTGCTGCACTTATCATTGCCAACACGAAAACTACACTGCAACTCAAAAAAATCCATGGAGAGAATATCGCTGAGAACTCCAATCGCCAGGAAAAATGTCGTGCTCGACATGAATTGTCAATGTCAAGCGCGCAGCCGAATGAATTCCTTTAAAACGTTTGATTTTCAAATCATCTTTCGCTGTGCACTGATGCGGCTCCCTCCTGACGAAAAATTCATACACTGGAATGCGTACACACAGGTACATCCGGCATTCCACACAATGAACCACAACGCCTAACCTCACCCCTTCGACGCCGGAACACAGACCAACACTCCCGGAAACCGTAACCACACCTACAGTCTGAGCGAGGCGGATTCTACGAGATCACATTGCAATCCTCCCTCCGATCACAACTTTCAACATCTCTGCACCAACCTTGAGTGCCGGAAGCATCCGCGCCGCCGTAGTAGGTTGCATGGGCGTCATTCCAGCCATTTGGCCCAGACCATGCCTCCACGCCCTCCATCCGCACACACCCGAACATGATGACCAACACCACCACCTCCAACACACTGCTCTGACGAGCTCGGAGAGCCATAGTCCGAATTCCCTGTACCCGCGACTCTACCTTCACACCAGTGAACCACCAGTACCTATGGCGAGAGGAAGGCTCCTGCCTGCATGCAAAAGTGAGAGGGAGTCTGAGCTTGAGTTTGGGAAAATGAATGTGTGTCTGCGATAGGAAGGGAAGCGGAAGCTTGAATGCAGCAAGGGTCTGATTGTGCAGGCACGATCTGAGAGGCTGCGCTTCGCTTCACTGTGTAATTAATCCCCACGGCAGCCCACCTTGCGGAGACGAATGATGGATGTAATTTATAAATGAACATCCGTTGGGGGGATTGGTGTTACCCACCCAGGTGGTTTCATTCATTTAATTGCTGCACCTGCATTGGAGGGCTCCTTTTCTTCTTTCATGCTGTGCCCTACCACCACCTAAGATTAACGAAGTTTTAATGTGCATTGACCTTTGAGTAAATTGATGTCAAGTTGGATGTGGCAAATATGAGCACAAGTTTTGATTGTCATGCCTGCCTAAGATTAAAATGTTTTATAAATTACTATAATTATTACATATTTTAATTCTTTACTTCACTTTTGATTACATACTCTTTTCTCTGTGAACATGCACATTAATCTTCTTCTTATTATTATTTTAATCATATAATTTAAAGACATGTATAGATAATTTTAGAAATTTCACACTGTAACAGAGTAATATTGGGATTGCAAAATTCACATTATACTCATCAGAAATAAGCATTTGAAGCAGGATTAAAAACTAGTTGCACACAGCAGCAAAAATAACAAAAATTTGAGGCCTCCAAAATTTACTTTGAAAAGGTTTTGGGTGAAGTAGGTGTGCTGCCAACAGAATTTTTTTGACAAGTATCCGATTTGCTTTCATGCTGCCTTCTCCACATCAACATCAACAGTGAAGTCTCTTTTAAAGTATAAATATAAAAATAAAAACTCCAAATGCATCAATGTCAGGTTACACCCACAGTTTCCATTTTAATATTCTGAAAATTTCTTCTGAATTTCACCTACTTGGAACTCAGAATTTGTGGCTGTCTTGTAAGAGCCATGGATGAAGTGCTCCAGAGAAACATTTAAGTCAATGAACCTCAACTTCAAAAAATGGGACAAAGGGGAAGCCTGACTGTTTTAGTCTCCATTGCCCCAGAAGCTCAGCAAACTCCAAGCTTTCTTAAAATAGAACTTCCTTTAGATATACTACAAGCATAAGTACAGTTGATCCTCCATTATCTGATCCCCTGTAAACCTATACCCTCCTATATTCAATACAAAATGAGTTCTACCAATTGCTTTCTTAATCGATACCCTCTTCTCTCCAATATCCAATGCATTTCTTGAGCAAAATCGGTTTACTAATGTGTACAGAATAGTAAAGGAAAACATTGAAAGTGAAGAACAAAGCTAATTATGCAGTGATGTAGTTACGCAAACATTGGAGCCAAAAATCAAGCAATGTTTGACACTTTTTTTGGCATTGTAGTTCATTTTGGATTTGGCAAGTGATATTATGGGTTCTAGTATGTGAGGGAATTAAAAGGTCAAGGATTTTGACAAATTTCTAGTAGACATCCAATTTTTCTATTTTTGTCATTATTGTTTTTGCTTCCTCTAGCTCATCAACTTCATCAGCATTCTTTTTGTTGCCTACTATTAGTTTGATAATTTTCTCATTTGTAAATTGTTGATGGGCAATTTCTTCCTCAACAAGGTTTAGAAGAGCTTCAATTAATTGGATTAGGAGTATCCAATTGCTCTATGGCTGAGGATAGTTCATTATTAATGTTTTCTTCTCCAAGTTTGACTTCTTGGTCTATGAGTGTAATATCTAGTAAGTTGGTATGCTTACAGCAATTGCTGATGATGTCTGCAAGAATATTGTTCCATGCAACATTACACCAATACATTGTTGTTAGTTAATCAACTTTATAAATATCAAACCCACATGTCTCATCCTTATCAATTGCATCTTGTAGCTTAAAAGCGATGATAACGTCTTTTAAAAACAATGATAATCCTTGTGTTCATGGGTTGAATTTTTAACGTTGTGTTTAGTGGAAGAAATATAATCTTGATATTTGACAGCTCAATATTCTCTAGAACATGCAAAGGAGCATTATCAAGAAGAAGGAGAATCTTTCTATTTTCATTTGCTATCCTTTCATTGACTTTTTTCAGCCATCCTTGAAACAACTAGCTAGTCATCCACCCTTTTTTGTTTGCATAGTAAAAAAATTAAGCTGTTTGTGGATTTTTTGTTAACATAGTGCAATTTCCATGCATGGCTAGTATAGAAGGGATTTAGCTTGTTTGAGCTATCTGCATTAGTAGTAAGAGCAATGGTGATACTTGTTTTATTCTTTTTCATTCCTACAATTTGGCAAGCAACAATTGTCTAATTGGGTAAGAGATGGTAGAATAACCTTGTTTTGTCTATGTTCTAAAAGTCATGGAAGGCATACAACTTGATCTTTGCTTAAAGCTCAAGAAGAGATACCTCAATTGCAGCAGTGTCACAGTTGATGCACTTTCACTGTGCAACTTGAATGCTCAGAATCCATGTCATTGCTTAAACTTTCGAATCTAGCTTTTTGAAAATCCTAGCAAATCTGCAATGTTCAGAAGAATGGTAAACTTTCTTCTTTTTTCTTGTATTAATCCATCAGTGAGTACAAAACTTTGATGCTGGCATTGCAAAACCCAGTTAGCTAACACTCCATCTAACTAAGGATGCATTGGAAGCCATTGGCAATTTGCAGAGAGTCTAGACATGTTGAGGCTTTCATACCCCTAGCACTTATTGAGAATCAAGTTGATGGTACTCTACAATGGCAGTTTTTGGAGATTGAATCATCTACTGGCCATGTTGCAAGCTCTTTCTAGTTTGTAGATGGATTTTTTTGGCAAATTGCAAACCTTTGCGCATTGGTAAGTGTCTTTGATATTGCTCTGCTTTGTTTGCTGAATAAGTATGTTAGTTTGTAACCCCACTGAGTTTTGTCTGTAAAAGTCAGAGAACATCTTAGGGACCAACTTTTGCATTTTCCAAAATGCAAAATCTCCATTCACATTTTCATTATAATAGCCAATCACAATTTGTCACTCTGTAACTCAATACCCTTCAATATTAGATAGATTTTGGCATCCACCAATCATATTGGTTAACAGAGGGCCAACTGTAGTTTGATCAAGGAAACCTTGTCAATTCATGCAGTGATCAATACTATCTTTCTAGAGCAGAGTGTAGCCTGAAATCAAGCTGCAGTAACAGGCTTAGCTCCCATTGACTATCCAACCAAACAAACCTAAATTCAACTAACTCACTTTGACCCATTTCCAATTTCCCTTTGGATCCACTTAGAACCCAGTTCCGATGCTTTTGAAGACATCCAGGCTTCTAGCTCCACTGCCCAGACCAGTAAATTCCACTTAGATCTAGGGCTTCAGAAAGTCAGAAGCTGAGAGGATAATGTGACAGAGACAGAGATGAGATCAAGTGTACCTTTTTTTTTTCCCCTGTTTATTTCTTCTCTCTTCTTCATCTTCTTCCTTCTTGATTCTTCTATGTACAATTTCTGTTTTACACAAGGCTCCCATACTTGTTATAGTCAGGGCTTGTCAGCTTAATTTCCTGTGGACTGGAAGAAATGAACTTTCTCTATTCAAAAAACTGGTGGAAAGGGCAGAGTAGGCTTTCTATCTATATTCTGATTCATTAGAGAAACAAAGTCCCAGTGACTCCTCCACCTCCTCCTGGACTCACCAATGGCACCAGCCCAAGACTGAGTACTTAACCCTTCCTCTCCCCACTGAGTGCATTTGGTAGGGGTGACCAACAGTATGTTTGATGACACTTGTATGTCCTTTAGTCAAAATCTAAGGATGCTCTTCACAGACAAGTGTAGTGAACCACTAGCAGCAGATTTGAATGAGGGGTATGTGTTGGCAAGGGTGATCAATGTCAAACATCCTTTAAAACCAAGGTCTCAAAGTTGATAAAGACTGAGAATCAATCCAACAATAATATTGTTTGAATATTTTACATGGATATATGGGTTCTGTTTTTTACTTTCTCACCCCCATTCCCTCCCCCACCTCCTCTCTCTCAAATGGTGTTCTGATTGGTGAAGAGGGAGCCAGAACCATGATGGAAGATGCTTTATGGGCAATGTGCATGCATGGCAAATGCTTCAAAAGAAGAAGAAAAATCCCCTTTGGACCGGATTTTGGCCAGTGGCAAAAGAATCGGCGACTGCAGTGACAATCAGATTGATCCAAGTTTTGAGGTTGTGCGGTTGGTGGTACTTTGTTGGTGGTGACTTCAATTTGGCTCTCAAACCCCCATTCAACAGGCCTCCTGTCAGCATGTCATTCATTCATCCATACTCATTTCAAATAACACCACCCAGCAAAGGAACAAAATCTTGCATGAGTAGGATTATAAATGTGGGGAACTCTAAACCACAAATCCCTCAGACAAGCTCTCTCCCTCTTTCTGGATTGCAAATTGATAGCTGATTGATGGTACTGTGTAGGTGGTGACTTCAATTGGCTCTCAAACCCTCATTCAACAGACCTCCTGTCATCCTGTCATTCATATAACCACATTTTGAATAGCACCACCCAGCAAAGGAACAAAATATTGAATGAGTAGGGTTGTAAATGCTGGGAACCCTAATCCACAAATCCTTGAGGCAAGCTCTTGCTCTCTCTCTCTCTCTCTCTCTCTGGGTTGCAAAGTGGTGGCTGATTGGTGCTGTGGATATGCAGGAGCCATGACTGGCTTCATGACCTCAAGAGAGAATAATTTGTAATGAAATCACTGGCAAATGCATACACACAAACAGAGAATCTTAGGTGCAGTCCACTTGCCAAAGACAAGCAAGTAAGGGTCTCAACAAGATCAACTGACCAAACTTATTTACCTTATATTAAATTGGTTCTCCTCTTTACTTTGTTTTTGACTGTGAAATATTGTGAAATGAATCTTTGCCTAGGTTTGGCTTACAGACAGTTTAGAAGAGGAATTTCTTAAGGCATTGTGTTTTTAAATTGCATGAATTATAGATTGGGCCACAGGAAACAGGTGTTTGCCTTGATGGATGTGAAAGCAGGGGATTGTTGATACAACAAGTGCCACAGGAGTCACTTGCATGCTGGAAGGTTGCTGCCTCAACAAGCTGATTTATGAGTTAGTCTTTTTGGCATCATTTGAGTTTTGAAAAGGTAAACATCAACAAAGAAACATACATATGTCACATGGAGACTGTTTTATCATTTATGCAATTTTTTCACTGCTTTTAAAATTCTGTAACTTAAGGTGAATTCTATAGACAGCTTCAGTACAGTTGCAGATCTGGGTGCAGCAAATTTGATGATTTTAGTGAGCATTCACTTAAACAGATGGGGAATATGAGATTTTTATTATTTTGGTTAGACTATGGAGGGCTGTGCAGGTGGATAAGGTCAGTAAGAGCATGTTACCAACACAGGTATCAAGCAAGCAGAACACACATCAGAGTTAGCACTGTTCATGAGTCTGAGAGAAGCTAGATTCTCCAGCTGTCATGCTTCTCTTTTGGCTCATCTGAACTACAAGCCACAAAACCCAGTTGCAAAAATCTCATGTATATTTGCATTGTTTCCTTCTGGTGTGCAAGAATGAAAGCTCAATGCCCATCAACACAGTGAATTGAGCCCCCAAATTCTCAATGCAGACTGAGTGACTGTGCCACACCTGCATCAAGAGGGCTTCTGAAAGAGACTGTCTATCAATAGCCTGGTTTGCAGCATAATTTTTCCATCACTGAAAATAACATTACAATTCGGGGGCCAGATGGGAATGGATGGATGCACCCTGTCTGTCATGTGATGGATCAAGTTGTACACTGATCACCACTTCACCAAAATATGATATGACAATCTTCAAAGGACTCCAGTATACAAGACACAAGATGGCCTGTGCTAGAAAGACTGCTTTGTACTCTCCCACCATTGCACATGTAGCCCAAGGTTCCAAACAAAAATTAAGCACATTCTTTAATCAACTGCCTAACTCCTTGACCAGTACAATAATCTGCTCATCATGAAACACTACACCAAGAGATTTTAGGATAATTTCTTTTTTAGCACACAAATGAATTGATATAGGACTAATCCTTGTAATCAGAAGTTAATGTGTCAGAGATAAACGACTGTCTGATGCAGTGCAATCTTAGAAGGTGGCCGGCCACCTATGTACACAGTCAGCATGCCAACTAGGATAAACAGATGGCGTCATCACGCCACGCAAGCAGGATTTCCGTCTCTCAGGGAATTGCAAAAAGCGCCGAAGGTTTGCGGATGGTGTTGCTGTTGCTGTGGTTGCAGGAGCGCGGGGGGCTGTTGCGACGAAATGTCATACGCTTTTTGGTGATGTCCGGCATCGCCATGCCTTTGCCGCAGCCACGTCGGGAAATTCTTCTTAAGCCTCGATCGTGCTCCGGTAATCATGTTTCTTTTTCTCCCTTCAATTCGACGTTATGTTGCGCTTGGCCATTGAGCTGTGATGAGCTCCAGGTCGTTTAAGGCCATGTGGAACTCCCTAGGCTTTGTACTTGCTTTCTGGCTGTGTTTTCTGGACCTGGAAACTTAGTACTTTTCGTGTGGTTGCTCAATAAGAGTGTTCCCGTGATTGTGAGGGTTTCGTACTGTCATGCTGTTACATTGTGTCTCGTCAATTGCGAGGTTAAAATCGCAACACCTTGAAGCACGTATCTTCAGAAATTTGACCAATTTCTTTACAGAAACAATCTCACTTCAAGGCATCAATCACCTAAACAAGAATTTATGCAGTTATCAACATGGCTTTCTGTGTAGAAAGTTCAAATAAAACTAAAAGAGTTTTTCTTTTTCTTTTTCTTTTCCTTTTTCTACGGGCAATGATATCATAACCATAGAACGTGGCTATCAAACCTGCGAATGTATTTTGATCAGGGAGAGTTCTGTGCTGTATATCACTCAATTTACAGACCTCCTCTCAGTGACATTTTACGTGCAACATTCACACTTGACATCTGAAATCTAGGTAAGATTGATTTCAACTACGTGTGGGAAAAGTTGGATTGAAATGCTCCTTTATTAGCCCTGGAGATTTGTTTCCATTTCAAGGATTTGATGTGTCCATTATAAACAACATGTTATTTCCTATAATAATGGAAGAGAGGAAAAAAAGATGGAAAAATCGTAAGCTTAGAGTACAGTGTGGTTTTGCAGGGTTCTCTCCTTCAGCTTCATTGAGGCTGTTGTTGTTTACATGAAGATTATATTGGTGACTTGTGTGCATAGAGCAAGAGGTCTCGCGGTCTTCGGGTGGAACTCCAGCGCTTCCGTGTGAGGTTTTGCAGAAGCTGGGCACTCATCTTGCTTGTTGTGATTACAGCATGTGGATCCACTTTCTATCCGCTCCTTCCTGCATTTGAAAATGTCCATGGCATAGCAGCAATAAGTGGAGATCAACAATCACGAGGAAAGAAAAATCCAAGAGATGACCTGGGGAAGAGGTTAGAGAATAGTTATCAAACAGGGTTGAAGCCAACTACAGGAATGCTGATATCTGAGTAAGGAACCCCTCTCCTTGTTGCTCTTGTGTGTGTCAATTGGGTATTAGCTACAACCGGATTCACCTTGCGAAAGCCCTTTTTCTTGCTCAGCTTATCTACCGTGACACTACAGGTAGGTTCCAAAAAAAAAGCTGAAGTCATATTATCGTTCTGTAATGCTCAATCAACTCCGTATTTTTAGCGATGTGCAGGAGGAAAATTCTAGTGACATTGATGCTCAACATAGAAATGTTGATTACAATACTGCCAGGTCTCGGCATGCCGCGATAATCAAAGAAGAATTCTTGTTCGAGGATGGAAAAGCACCATTTCCCAGCTGTCATGCCTCTTCTATCGTTGAGGTACTTGGGAACCATAGGTTGTTAAGAATCAACAATTAAGATCAGCTCGTTTTGCATCTCTTTTTTTGTGTAAAATCGATTGTAGCGTTGCAGTAGAAATCAACTCTTCCCTCAGAAGTAGGATTGATATCAGCAGGACGATTTTTAAAATGAATTTGGATTCTCTTTCAGACCAGATTCACTTCTTAACGCTCTTTCCACTTTAATATGTCCAGTAGTAGTGTTAAAACTGAATGTTTATTCCTCAAGCACTTTTGGAGTTTATAACTATGACTGCTTGGGTTAAATAATACGGCAACCATAAAATCAAGATACTGGCAAGATTGTCTTGTTTTATAGACTCAATCGCTCGTGCACTAGAAATTTCTCCTCACACACGCGTTGGTGTGTTGAGTGGTAGTAGAAATTAAATATTGCACATGGAGTGTCTGTTAGACCTTAATGTAGTGATTTGCACTATTAGGATAAATAGTACACATGGTAGGCGCGCAGTTTCTTATTTATTCACAAGAGTAATGCCGAGTCTCTTTCTTTACCTCAATATGTAATGTGTTCAAGAAATTTGTCTACTCAGTTGGGCTCAGGCACATTCTTGGTGGCCTACTTTGGGGGTACACATGAGGGCTTCAGTGATGTTGCAATCTGGACATCTCGTTTCGAGGTTTGTATCCCTCTTATCACCTTATCTTTGTCGTGAATTTCGTACATCTGCTCCAATATCTCAAGAGACCTGTCCATTTTAACTATGATGACTGTGGTTCTTGTCAATTGGCGCGGACAGGTGGGACTTTGGAAGCCTCCAGCGCTAGTGGATAGAGAACCAGATGTGCCCGCCTGGAATCCAGTTCTCTTCAAAATGCCTGACGGAGAACTCCTCATATTTTACAAAATCGGTGAAGAAGTGCAGAAGTAGGTCATTTTAGTAATGACAACGTGATCGTTTGAGTTCAGTATATCTTAGTATGTCCTTTATGACCTTTCTCTTCATTTATGCTGTCATACACTCATAGACGTCTTGTAACAGGTGGAGTGGCTTTATAAAGAGATCATCTGACAATGGCGTGACATGGTCAGACAGAGAACAGCTGCCTCCTGGCATTCTTGGCCCGACTAAGAACAAGGTGTGCCCAAATACCGTGCCATCGATCCAGTTTAATCTCAAAGCTACGTGCATTTTCGATTTTTCGATTATTTAATCTTTTAATTCTTCGATTCATTTAATTATTTCGTATTTATTTTATTTTTTGTGGGGGAGGAGGTTGTTTTGTTTGTTCTTTAGCGTTCTTTCTTTCTTTATTCTCTTCTTTTTTATTCATTGGGCTTTTATATTAGTTATTCCGGAAGTGTAGTACCTGGATTCAGTGCCTTGTGAAGAACTGCAACTCAATTGTCCTAGAATCTTTGGATGCAGCCTCTGCTGATTAAGGATGGCCGACTTTTATGTGGCTCCTCGACAGAGAGCTGGAATGCATGGGGAGCTTGGATGGAGGTGGCTACCATCTTTCCTGTATTTATCTCTTTAAGCTACAATATTGCGGTAATTTGTGTCATGATCATCTGTAGTCAGAAAAGTAACATAGACAGTCGAAAGCTCTTTCTGCAGACCCACAATCAAAGTTGTGTCAATTTTCTTTCTTTTCAGTGCTGATAGAATGTGAGGTTGGGTGTAGGTAACTGCTGATGCAGGTCGTACATGGGCAAAGCACGGTCCAATTCATTTATCTGGTACTCCTTTGGGGATTATACAACCTGTCCCATTTGTGACAGCCCATGACACTGTTCGGGTCTTATTACGTCCCAGTTCAATGGTTGGCAGAATTTGTATGGCAACCTCTCAGGACGCGGGGTTAACGTGGAGTTTTGCCACTCCAACTGAACTCATCAACTGCAATTGTGGTTTAATTTCTTTTCCACGATTTCACCCTAGTTATTTACTCCAAATCAAAAGACGGTTTGGCTCTTGTTTGGCATTTTGGCACGCTTCGGAGCTTTCAGACTTTTGTTATTTGTCCCACAACGAATTGTCTCTTGCTCTGTAACATGTGAAGCACTCTTGGTGATCATATAATGTGTTAATTGCATTAGGTTTTGATGGCGTGAAGCTACATGATGGTCGCTTATTGATACTCTACAATACTACATCTCGTGGGATCTTGAAAGTAGCAATATCCGCGGACGATGGACTTAGTTGGAGGGACTACTTAACCCTAGAAGATACTGAAGGGTGCGAGTTCTCTTATGCTGCTGTGATCCTGGCTTCTGACAAGCATATTCATGCAACTTACACCTACAAACGGCGGCAGATCAAGGTAAAAACACTTCTGTTTAATCTCTGTACTCTTTTTTCATGTATTATTGCACAGCAATAAATTGTCATTTCCCGTCTCGAGTATTAGTTCGAAGTTTTATTCCTCCTATTTTTTGGTCGCCTCATTCTCTAACAAAATGGGTTATGTTTTCCTTGGGGGATCCAGCATGTTGTTCTGCAACCCAGCGAGCTTAAGCATCCGCAGTCTCTGGTGTAAGAATGTTAGCGTCGCAATTCTGTTACTTGTACGAGTATACAAAATGGGCTAATTTAGTTGGAATCCTTAGTGGCTGAGATATGGAGTTGTGGCAGATAGAGGATCGTTTCTTCCTTCCTAATTATGCCGCCGGTACTCCGAAGAGACTGAACTTGGTAAGAATCGTGTCATTTGGGAACACATTCAGCTTTCCATGATCATGCAGCCTTCCCAGCACTGCAATACCTATGTTGCTAACTGATTGTATGAACCACTATGTTGAAGTTGAACTGTTGACGCTCTTGGTCTGTTGGATTTCGCTTTTCTCAGTCGTGGATTCGTTTCATAGCATATGATTATAACAGCGGCAGTGTGCATGTTGGGATGCAGACGAGTATAAGCTTCAAGGAACTAATATCAATGCTAGGGGTAAACCTGGCAGATTTAGTAGGAGTAGAGTACTAGGTCTTCATCATCAACACAACGTGCTTGCAGACTTACAGGAGACAATAACCAGTTCGAACTTTTAGTATCTGTGAACGTAGTTCATTGTAGCTTGGTAAACTTAAGAAGCAAATGCAGACCTTCCACAAGACACTGATACCAATGAAACGATTTGTAGAGAAGGAGTTTTTGTAACACGGACTGATTGTTATCTGAAAACTTCCACACAAATCTGCAAGTTCAGAGTAAAAATCATGTGGCAACTCCCAAATATCTTCTGATTTCCCATGTCAAGCTACAGCACTTTTATCCAGAAAGTTCCGACATTTAGGGTTTAGGGTTTCAGAGTCACTTGAAACTATTACGGAGTTATATATAGATTCAGCGTCCTCTATCAGCTGAAGATTATTGCGTCGATTTTGTGTCAATTGAATTCTATCATTACAATAAAAGCTTACCAGCTTTAAATTCCATATTGGAGTTACTGTTGGTTTGACCTTATCATCTTTTAGTACTTTTCTCTTCAGACGAATCTCTGGTTCCCAATTGAAGGTGCTCATTGCATCCGTTACAGTGAAGCAGACTCGGATGTTTGGCATCCGGTACACTAATCCATCATCCTCGCGAATCCAGCGAACAGGATGTATGTTTCGTCGTTTGTGCATCCGGCAATGCTTCAACCTCACGTTTGACTGTTCGTCGCGCTTGCCTCTGTCGGATTTCCTCGCTCTCATGGTACGATTGTCGTCTTGCACCCATGAGTCAATTGCAGGCACAGCAGTAGAAATGCCCTGGTCTCAAAATGCTGTCGTTTTGAGTGTTCAAATTTTCGGGGTGTTATTTTTCGTTTGTCTGGAAATTGCAAGAGAGGGTGTCTATTTATTTGTGAGGGGAACCAGGGAAAGATTTGTCGCAAGGTGTTTCAACCAAAAGGATGCTTGGAACGCCAGGAAGGGTGCTGTCGGTATGTGGCTGCGAACAACAGGGGTTGAGTCAGAATGTGTTTTCGGAAGTGTCTAGGACACGGCGTCTTGTGCGACAGATTGATCATCTAGTTAGGGTTTGGATGTGGGAGAGCATGTTGTGGGAGGTTTTCTAGAAGTTCGCAAATTGGGGTGTTAGCAAATTGCAGAACGCTTTCTGGGTCCCTCTATTGTGGTTTTTCTTAGAGTGGATTTGGTGCGTGGGGTACTGACTTGAGCTTGCAAGAAGAAGCAGTGCAGGCACCCTCACGTCCTCGAGCTTTGACGTAGTTGTTAATGGCATTGCAAGATATTGGATTAGAGAAGCTATTATGGAGCATAATGGAGTGTTAGCGTCGCTGAAGGAGAGACTTATGAAGGCGACGATAGCCATGGACAAGGTGGAGCTCATGGAGCTGCACAAACTGCACATGAAGCAGTTCGAGGATTCAGCAACTGGGTGGGACTGCAGGATTAAGAAGGAAATGGAGGAGAGGACGCCAGCGATAGCGAAGGCGTCGCGTCACCGCGCGATTTTGCCGCTGGAAGTGTTGAGAAGAGTGACGTTGGTGGAGCTCACGGTGGAGAAGCGGAAGGATGAGCGTGTGCTTTACGGTACTCTATGCGTCGAACCATTTGTTCTCAGTTTTGTGCAAACTGTGATTGAGGATGACGAGGGTAAGGCCATCACATTGATAATTTACGATCCTATTTTAGACGGTGAATCAGTTATGGAAATGGCAAATATTCGCTACTGTCAGGGTACTAAGGTAGCTATCAAAGAGCCATATCTGTGCACTTTGCCGGACAAGACTCGGGCCCTGTGTGTGAACAGTGTAGGTGACATTACAATCCTGTCGGAAATCTCCTCCTTACCTACAGATGTCAGCCCTTGGTCAAATCTAGACATAGCTGCTCTGCGCGCGGAGGGTAATCGCTACTTTGCTAAGGAAGATTGGGTTGGAGCGATAGACTTGTACTCACAATGCATATCAAAATCCATGGAATCAGTGCGACCATCCTCAAAATCTCCGAATTCCAAAGCACGGAAAAAGAAAATGGCAGTCTATAATGGTGGCGCAACCAAACAAAATGAATTGGACTCAGAAACTGTGACGCTGGCCTACTCAAACAGGGCAGCTGCTTGGATGAAGCTTCGTCACTTTGAGAAGGCCTTAAATGATTCAGAGGAGGCTCTCAAGGTAGATCATACACACTTGAAAAGCATGTATCGAAAAGGGCGTGCGCTTCATGGGTTGCAACAATACGGAAAAGCGTGCGAGACATTTCAAGATGCGCTGGTTCTCTATCCTCTGGACAAGGATATTAAAAACGCTTTACAAAGAAGTAAAACGTGCGACCTGCAAAGTCGTTTAGGGTTATTCGAGATTTCGAAGTGTATTCTCGGCTCATGTGATGGAGGTGTGACCGAATTCAGTGATTACGTAGGACCTGTAGAAATTAAATGGAGTGAGAATTTGGGCATGCGTGGGCTGTTTGTGACCAAGGATGTTGATGTCGGGGACCTTCTGCTAGTGAGTAATGCAATCTCAGCGGTTCGCATTGATGGTACAAATCCTAAGAGGGTTGAAGGATCCTCTGGTCGCTCGAATGCTATTCTTCGAGATGAGCTTGCCTTTAAGCTTTACAATCTGATTCCCAAATCCCCGAAATGGCAACATCAGCTGAGTTTCCTGACTGATTCAGGAGACAAGAAAGATGATAGATGCCCACCTATGGATTTATTTAAGCCTAACCAAACGTGGAACTCTTTCAGCAAGCATGAAGTATCTCCGTCGCGCATCGAGGGAATCGTATTCCAGAATGCGTTGGATGAGTCTGGGTCTTGCGCTAGAGGCCTTCATAATAATCGGCTTCCTGGTGAGAATAATCGACAGTTCTTAGGATTGTGGGCTTTACCTTCTTTCATCAACCATTCGTGTTGTCCGAATGCTGTTCGTCTTCATCTTGGTGATACTTTATTTCTGCATGCTTCTCGTCCACTAGAATGCGGGGACGAGGTCACGATCTCATACGTCAACCCCTTAGTACCGCTTCGTATGCGCCGTGAGCTGCTAGAACAGGATAAATGGGATTTCATATGTAAGTGCTCACGGTGCGAACTGGAGCTGAGACTTAGAGAACCTCTTAAACACATTTGCAAGCGAATGTATGACCATTGGGGTGTGAAGGAGAGTATGGTGGCGGGGCATCCAGAATCTTTAGACATGGCTAGAAATGCTCTGAGACTTGAGGATCGACTTAAGCTTAATGTTCCATATCTTCATGAACGGCAGTTAATACGGACTTCATACTTTAATGCCTACTGGAGCGCTTTTCACAATTTGGACCAGCTGGGTGATCATGCCTACAGTATTCCACGGCCTGAGGTTCTGATTGATGCAATGAATGTTACTTCACCTGGTGATTCTGTGACTCTGTTTTTCGCTGCATATTGGTTGAAGAAGTTTGAAGAGCAGGGTGCGAGTAGGATTGTGGTGAAGGATGCGCAGAAGAGGGCCATGTACACATGCAAGTCTGTGTATGGCAAGCAGAAAGCGGACGTTTTAAAACGATTAATTAAAGCACACTCTGCAGGATGAATGGTGCTTTGTAGTGGCTCTTGGAGAAGTGTTTTATTTAGATATCTAAAGATTGACATTCTAGATTGTAGATGCACGGCTGGATATGGCCTTCACGTCTTAGTGCTAGAGCATGTCAATATTAGACGAAATCGAATATGGACACAATCGCTTTCTAGGTGCTTGGCGGACACCCAGGTTTCGTCGTTTGACATGTTATAACTTTCTCAAAAATCAAGTTTACCATGACTTGGGTATGCAACCATGTTTATCAAGTTCGATTCTCATGTCTTGTTGTACTCTATTCTGTTTAGTTCGTACTTCGTGAAAAAATGCTGCTCTATCATGCAGAAGTGTCAACGATCTAGGAAGCGTTTAGTGCGATGGATTTTCGTCTTCTGGTGTACTTTTTATAGTGTAAGCTGTTATCTTTTATCACATACCAGACTCCCTGTTCTGTTCCACTGCACACAGTGTTCTTGTTCACCCCCCGCTCTGGAGGCTTGAGGAATGTGATAGCACTGTAGTTCTATATTTGAGAAGCAGAATGAACTCCAAATCGTCATGTAGTTGGACTTATATGTTGCATGTCACAACTCATTCAGTCTGAATTATGAGAGCAACCAAAGACCCCTGGTTGGCTACGGCAAATTCCCTAGCTTACATCCAGATGAAAGTAGCCCGCAGACATTGCAAGACCATGATTTCTTGGAAAAACTCATTTTAATCATCGAATTTTGTACCGAAATTAGCCTAGAGAGTTCCTCTGCGTGAAACCCGAGGAGATTTTTCTCATCCACCTGCTGCTGGCATGAGCTCTAGGGGTATCCTATCAAATCTACTGTGAATTTAGAATGTCAGCAAATTGATGTAACAACAAACTTTGAACAATGTTTAAACTGAATACCCAGACGGAATGCTCATCTTAAATGCATACCTACTACCGATTGATGTTGAATATGTCTGCGTCACAAGCATCATAATTCATATATCTGCTGCTGACACACAACTTACAAACTAAAAAGTAAACCAGAAGACGAAAATCCAATAGTTGCAAAGAAGCCAGAAATCAAAAGAAATAATTGTCCACCAGTGCTACAATTCTCAGTAATGCGGTGAGTTGTATAGTGTTATTCAGAGCATAGATTGGCTTGTTTCTTTGAGACATAGTTCAACATATTTTAGTGAATCCCTCAAAGTTTCACAGCTCAACTCACCATGAAGGAAGATGGATTTGGTAACAAAACATCGTGTGTGTTTACGGTGGTGCCAAATTATTACAAAGAATATTCTGATAATACAAGGAGCGAAGGACTCGGCCAGATTATGAGAGATCCGCTACAGCCCCAGGCAATACTATTCGTGACAAGCATTGATTACAAGTAGAGGCCTATTCAAGTAGACAATGAGCTCTGTACATGAAGATGTACTTCTCTGATCATCATAATGTGTGTACAGCATCGGAATTGTTGTCAAACAAGTCTCATTTTGACCTGAGGCTGTGACCAAACCTCACTCACTTGCATCTGCCTCCAATTTCCCAATGATGTGCTCATAAGCTCAGTTCAGTAATGGTATGTGCTTCTCCATATGCTTGCCCCATCTTTCCTGGGGTAGATTTGGAATCTATGTGTAAATTCTACTGTCTTAAACAAAAGAACAGTCCAAAATTATACATAGTACACCATGCCAACCTGAAGCAGACACTCATGAGGGATGTTGAGCACCACCCGACTATCTCTGCTTATTCTTCGTAAAAAGGTATAAATGAAGTTGACAATCAGCTTCTTGAATAAGCCAGAATCCTTTCTGGCTTTGACGATATTGTTGCCGAGGATGTAGACCACTCCAGCTTCTTTGCAACTATTGAGAAAAGCAACCTCGTCCTGAATATCAGAATTGCTTCCACTGATACTCAGTTGAATTTGAGAATTGTCATCGACACTCTGGTTAGTTGGCATCTCAGCCAAGCTGGTGCATGATTGACTCAAATGGCCGTTCCCGACGGAATTTTCTGCTCTCGTGATGCCATTTGATCTCAACGCTCTTTGCAATCGTGAAGAATTTGGGGAATTCATAGTTGGCATAGATCTGACACTCTCCTCCTCAGGTGTCCAGCTAGCAGCCATGGATTGCAGATCACATTGTTCTCTGAAATTTTCTATCTCAATGAACTTTGTTAAATAATGAATGAGCAGTTGCTCGAAATTGTCATCCTTCTTTTGGATATCTTTGTAACCATACCGTGCAGCACAACGGTACATGGAGTGAGCCCTCGTTCCAATGCGACGAATTAAAAACCTTTCCTCTTGTGGAACAGTGTTAACTGGCAGATACTTGATGCACACAAAGACTACTGTGGAATGGATAGCCGGAAGGTTGGTGATGAAATGTGAAAACAACGGAGGAACTCCATGCGCTAGATCTGTGTACATGAGACCAATCCCTGGAACACGCACCAGGCCGAGACTGGGGCCTAGTCCTAACAACCATCCCACAGAGACCTTATGTTGCATCTCATACTGGTATCGTTTCAGAGTACCGTAGTGCCATGTGTACATGATGGTTCCGAAGACTACGGCAATGGCAAGCGGGACCCATCCACCTTGGGTGATCTTGAACAGCACTGCACTTAAATACACTACTTCGATCGCCATGAAAACGGTAAAGAATAACAAGGCTAGGAGGACATGTTTGCGCCAAACGATAATCATCACAAGGGTCATTAAAATGGTTGTAATGATCATTACAACTACCACAGCGATTCCTGCACAGACAACAGACTGTGTAAGAGATGTGAGAAAGATACAGGTTTTCTTGTCGTTTAAAAGTAGTCGCTAAATCCGCACGCGTGGACGAAAAACTTACCGTATGCATTTCCAATTTCGTTGGTATCTCTGAAACCAGCTGTAATGACCAGGCACAGACCCATTAGAATCCAATTGATTTCAGGGATATACACCCGTCCCGCGATATCGTTTGATGTGTGCACAATCTTCACGCGGGGGAAACATCCCAAAGCTACTGATTGCTTGACTATAGAAAACGTCGCAGAAATTATGGCTTGACTTGCAATCATAGCTGAGACTGTTGCCAACACAAAAATGGGCCAATAAAGTGGAGCTGAAAACGACCAAAAAACACATTCAGTATGTTTAGTTGTGATTACCTATCAGATAACGTTAGTATGAAGTAGATTACAAGCTTATAAAAATTCAACGTAATGTTAAAATCTGAAAAGTGGCATTCAAAAGTTAACCGAGTGATTCTGATTTTCAGCTATTCTGCAAGAAGCATTCTGCAACTTACGTGGGAGTGAGGAATAGAATGGATCATTAACATTTTCCGTGTGTCCCACAAGATATGCAGCTTGGCCAAGATAAGTAAGAATCAAGCACGGATAAACTAGGGAAGTGAAGGCCATCTGCGCAAAATCCACAGCTTACTTTCAGTAACATGGAAGGCAAACCAGGAAACTACTGAATAGACACAAATCACGTTGGATTGGCTCCGGGCCTTAGTGTTCAAATCCACTTCACCTGAATGGACCGAAAACTGAAGTGACCCAAGTCAGCAAACAACGCTTCCGTCCCTGCACAGCTAGCCAAAAGACGGCGTCAATAAATAAGCATCGAAAATTCGCCACACATTCTCTTAATTACTTTTTCAGAAACTCGTAAGATAAACATATATGGTACATGACGATAAGTAGTTTGGTTATGATTTTGATGCATGAAATTGTTGAGTGCTTTATCATCCCGTCATACATAAAAACAAAGAAACCACATTAATACCTGTCATGCACAATACGATTCCTCCGAGATTCTCCCAACCTACACTTCCGTTCCTTGTGAAGAAACGTATGATCTCATGAGGAGAGAAGGCTTGGAATACAGACTTGTCCCACTTGATGATGTTGTAACAACCAAGCAGAGCAAGGACGATGAACCATGACATGAATATTGGAGCAAACACAACTGAGACTGTTGCTGTACCATAACGCTGCAGGCTGAATAGAATGACCAAGATAACCAACGATATTACCGTCACCAAAGCTGCAAAAGCACAGCTACGATGTTAGATTAAATGACGATCGCCATAATGTATCACATCTTTCACAAGCATTCTTAAAGAATAAACGGCCTGCTGATTGACGATGTAGAATCAAAAACAGGAGAAACACCACAAATCCAGGTAAAAGCAGCGCGATTCCAGGTTTGCATGGAGCTCCAAGGATGAAGATGCTTACTGGTATCCAAGCTAGATGAAGCAGCCCTAATTCCAACTACTGAAGATAGGACTGCATAGTGCAAAAGACGACTCATCAGCAGGCTGCTAAAATAGTTGCGAGCCACTTTCCTACTCGCAAAGAACGATCCAGAAAGACACAACTTACTGTATTACATTTGGATAAGCATCTTCATTACACAAACATAGAATCTCGTTAAGGAAAGAAGCTCGTAATACTGACCAGACAAAAACATCTCCAGAAGAACAAGTATGGACAGACACTTGAATTCTTTACTGCCCTTAAATCTCGAATAAGGCCGACAACGAAAAAACAAAACAAAATAAAACAAAACGAAAACAAACAAACAATCAAACAAACACACACCTACACACGAATAAATGATATAATACTACCACTACCACCACAATGAAGTCAGGGCACAGAAGATTGTGCAGGCATGTGTGGATGACCTATAATTGCGAAGCTATGAATCAAGGATTGAACGAACAATTGTTTACCTGAGATTGATGGAGTCAATATACCATCCCCTATCACCATACAGGTTCCCAACAACACAATCAACAACAGCACTTTCTGAAGTGAAGGGCTGCCTTCCAACTTTCTTTGTAGATAGGTCTTCTGATTAGCATGGTCTACGAGATACGTAGTGAGTTCCACATCTGTGGGATGTTGATTTGGCAGCAAACTTATATTACAGTATCGACACAGTAGAGAGTAGAGTGCAAATGAACCCCCTGTACAATGCATATTAGGAGGTGAGGACTGCAATCTTGTGAAGATTATGCCGGTGAAAATCCAAATGTTTCTAATAATAATTATTCTGTGCCCGAAATCTGTGTAAAAACAAAGTATCATCCATGAATGTATACACCCAGAGAGAGAAGGAACTTTGACTTTTCAAATTACCTTCACCATTGTCGTTTGCCCTCAGGACGATGAAGACGTACTTGATCAAAGGTATAATTGTGAGGGTGTAGATTATAAGAGACAAAGCTCCGATGATGTCTTGCTTTTCAGTAACTGCTACATTAGCAAATGTACTCTTGAAAACATACAATGGTGATGTGCCCAAATCTCCATAGACTACCCCTAGGCTCTGATATGCTAGGTGCATTATCGCACCTAGCGTAACTGCCTGCAGCACATCGAGAAAATTTTTGTTAAGATTCCAAGAAGGTGTGGAAGATTTGGCTTAGAGAACCGAACACCGAACTTGTTAACCTACGGAATCGACGTGTACAGTGTTTGAATCAGCTGAGAGATAGCAGGGATGTTTTCAATTCCCAAGACAGACGAACATAGCTAGGATGGAAAACGAATCTCTTTAACAACAGCTTATCAATACTGAACAATTAATCATTCCTCGGCAGCACATTGTGAAAGAACTCTACATGTGCACAGACTCCCACTGAGCAATTGCACAAGCAGAATTAGTGCACCTACCACAAAGTCTGGGATAAGTGTAAATCCTAAAGAATTATAGAAGATTAAAATTTTGAAAAAAATAGAGAACATTCAGCACAACGAAGACAATATCAACCTGTGCTCTCTCAAATAATCCACAGGGACTGAATGATTTTGCTTGATTATTCAATATGTATTCCTCCTCCACAGTGATTGTTCAAAGCTATGTATCATGTCATACCGCAATGGTTCTCTAAACTTAAACACGTGAATGATTCATGTTCAAGTCTTTGCAAAACTGTAGATGACCGGTGCCTTGCTCCTCTGCGCTTAGAGAAACTACCACACAGAGCAAGATCATACTCAAAGTGCACGGCAACTATCGACAGCTGCCATGTAGGAACATGGCCATTACCAAGTATAAGAAATTCGCATATCTCCCACTCTTAATGAGTTTCACGCACCACGACAGAGTATCCAACTTAATCCCCTACGATAGAATCTCTGCTGACTGCAAAATAAGCATACTGCGATAGAATATCTTGCACGCTTGCCATTACTCTGCATGAAAAGAACACAAGTGGTACACACACTGTGGAAAGCCTAAGATTCTTCAGCCGTGCATAATCTACTCACCCTCGAGTGTTGCAACCTCTGTCGAAATCCCGATGTGAACGAGCAGACACCCTCTAAATCCTCAACACACTGACGCGAAAAGAATGAGCTCTAATAAATTAACAGATTTGCGATATCTTTCTCGTACTCTAACCTCGCATGCCCACAATGCACAGCGTTCTGAATATACGAAGAAACACTTCTGAATTCGAAAACTGCGAAATGAATGCCACCATCTGACATTATCATCCGGGAATCCTTAATACTAGTAAGGAAAAAACCTTTACACGCCACACTCATGCATGCTAGGATTCGCTCGAAAGTCCACACAAAATAAGCTCCGAGAAGTTTTTATAATGATTCAAGCGCAAAAGGCTTGCTACCTAGAAAACCAGCGTGGCAGCAATGCTGCACGAATCTGAAATGGTGGAGCACAAATTTCCGTCCAACGGCTCCATATCGCGGAAACATGTGGCTAGTTTTCGACAGCCTTGAGCACTTACACTTGAATAGTTCAGACGTTAGTTTATGTTGTGGCTCACCAACTAGATTACAAGCGGGAGTTTTACGAACAGGAGGAGCTTTCAAAATAAAACCTTCACACGACGGATTAAGATCGCAAGAACACAAGACTTCTGAGACAAATACATCTTCGCTACCACTACTTTAGAGCTACATAATTAAAGCGCTTTGGCGCGTCAAATCGTTCTGTAGGTCTAAAATCGCAAGTTACCAGCACTCCAACGAGTACTCAACGTCGACAAAAGTAAAACCGAAGAAATCCTCTTCACGATTCAAGGTCGATCCAATCTCCTCCCACTTCAGTGTAGACTCTAGATTTATGTGTGTGTGTGTTCTTTCTGTGAAATTGGCAGCGCACCTTGTTCGTATACATGGACTTGACGTGGTCGGCTTCGACTCCAAGCGGCTGGTCGATCCGTTGGTCCATATCCCATAGTCGCCCTTGTCTGTGAGCCCGCTGCAACTGGATGTCGTCACTTCTGCCGCCTTCCAGATCGTCCGATATCATAGTGGTAGACATGATGGTACTCTCTAAGAAGCATTAATGCTATCAGCTCCCCGCAATCAGATCACGGGTCAACGATCTAGTCTCCTTTGGACAAGAAGTTAGCAGACCCTCCCTTCGCTTCTCCACAGGAGCGTTTAACTTCCCTGCTTTGCACCTCGCTTCGCAGTCCTATCGGAAGTCGGCTAGAATAATTCCTTCTGAACTCCAAATTAATCTGAAATGGCACCAAAATATGCCATAGACCAGAATTTCCAATCGAGGATGATTCTCTTCCAATTCTAAGCAGGCCTGCATTGCCGGTGAAACAACACACTGCTTGGGCCATGGTCGCGTCTCAAAACTCAACACCGCATACAGCTTCGCAGATTTTCCGACCGTAGACTGGTGTGGACAGCCGCTGTGGCTGATGCGTCTGGAAATTCCCTTTAGAATTACAAACACTGCCCTGCTCCAGCTTGCTACCACCGGATGCATTCGACCGCAAGATCATCCACGCGGAAAGAGAGCATCACGGAATCCCTGTCCCACCGCGCATAGCCCGCCCTAATCAGGTTTTGAAAAAGGAAAATGTGACATCAAGCACTGGTCCCAGCGGGAAAAAGAGTGACACCGGCCCGGCTTATGAGGAGGAGGAGCAGTATGGATAGGTCGGAGCACCGGTGGCCCTCCGGGAGGCGAGGCGTGCAAATCCATTGATAAATTCCGCCTCTTTTCCGGGTTCGGCCGTCCCGAATCGTTGTGTTTTTTTGTCATGTCCTGCAGCTACAAACAGCTACAGAAAGTGTTGAAATGCAGGGACAAGGTTCTGATCTGTGGTAGAGGAGGCAGAGGAGGATGCACACGGCAATGATTCACCTCCATTGCTGGAAATCTCTCCGCGCCCGCAGTCAAATGTCAATGCTAGTTATCAATTGGGAGCAACAAACGCATTATTTCTATTTAGTATCTAAAGTGTTATTAAGTATGTGCGAACATATATATATATATATATATATAGATAGATAGATAGATAAAGGTGCGATGGCGTTCTTTTAACACAGCATGTGTAGATCTTATATGCAATATTGCTTGTACCTTTTTTCTATCACATAAGTAAATTTTTCCATGAAAATAATACGAACTCCACTAAAAAAAAGTTTTCAGTCAGCTCTGATTTGAACAAGGTGGGATGTTTCGAGGAAGAGGGAGGCCCAGAATAGGACAAATTCAATGGATTTGCTTTGGCACAGAACAATCATAGGGTCTCGTTAGCCCATATTTCATGAGATAAAACATCCAATCACTTTGTCATTATTTGTTGTTGATCAAATACATATATATATATATATATCCAGTGGGGTCAAACCCATGACTGGCTGGGCACCTGTCTCTCTCTTAGACCCATGTCTGAACTAGGACAGAGGAAGATTGACAGACAGAGGGTAGAGCTTGTTGGTTCAGAGAATATTTATGGGATATTTAGAGGTATCTAGGACATGTAGTTTGGAATAAGACACCAGTTCCAAAAAGGGCCATTGTTATACCATATGCCAACCCGGTTCCGTGTACAAAACGACCAGAAATCATCCCTATACAAATAATAGTATTAATCCCTGACTACCACTGTAGGAAATTGGGTGGAACACATAGCCCAGGGATCCCCCCCCCCCCACACATACACACACACACAGTTGCCAAGGCTGGGCTTGCTTGCACAAATCAGCACCCATTTAATAAAGCTCACGAATCCAAAAACCGCCTGATACAAGGATAAAATTAACGAAATTTAATATGGGTTTAAGGTGGGAGAACAAAAACATGTTCCCTGTTTCTCTTGAAACGAGGGCTCTCAAATTTGATGGCATGGCTCTTCTTTCTTTAATTCTTTCCATTTCTAACTCTGATTTTTTAAAAATCTTTCCTTAGTTTCTCTATCTTTTGTTTGTGCTTTTTCTCAGGTGGATCAGTCAACTGTTCTCATTTTTTGGTGTTGCCAATAGTATTCTCTCACCTTATGGAATCATCTGAATGTGCCTCCAGGATCACGTTGGTACCCCCTTGTTCTCAGAACCATGTGGATGAATGATACATGGACGGATGAACATGTTGCCTGCGTGGTTGCTCAAACACAGCCACCATATCTCCCAACTTGCTCCACAACAGTGGTTACTTACTATTTAAAAGTAATAGATTAATGCTGTGCTTATTTTAAGATTACTATTTATGATATTTTAAAAAAATAACACGGGTAGTGTTTGAATAAATAAGATATTAATTTATTACGTCCACATTTTTGTTGATGTATGAATTCATCCAATTGTTTCAGTAATTTTGAATCCTACAATAAATAAATATAAATTTCTATACAGATTCCAATGCCAAAAACTTATTTGATTTGTAACAACATTAATAAAAAAGACAAGCAGCAACAAAAGGAATTTATTTTTATCCTTTTCTTACTTTTGTATTGTTGTACTTAGATGGGTTCAGGATGTATCAGCCATGTCATCATTCTGCATTTGTACCTCCACTATCACAAAGGCTCTGTAGACTAGAAGTAGCCAATCATTTAACTGGAACACTGTCATTCAACACATGTTTTTGTATATTGTATAATATCCATTATAATTGTTGTAAATGGGCATTGTTTGTAATTCTTGTCATATTATTAGTCGATTTGAACATCAATCACAATATTTTTAACCTCATTGCTAACAAATGTCTTACATATTGACTGATGCCATGTTCTGATGTCAAAATTCTTTAAAATCACAAATGGTTACACCCATTGCCAACTTGAGATTCCACAAAAAGAATGATTGCAACTGGTAGTCATCACCACCATACTCCATTATCTTTAAAAAATTAAAACAAAATTCAACCTTGTCACAATCTTTCTATTTGATTTGTTGTATAAGTAATAAAAATGAACACATTGTACAGATAGATTGACAATCGATGTAAAACACATATGTATGCACACTGGTAAAAACATAAACACCTTTGTATGATTTATGAAGATGATGAAAGTTGAAAAAATACATAAAATAGCATAATTGATGTTGTATCAACAATGAGTTGTATGAACAAGAACTTTTCTAATATAGAATATTTTAATAAATTTTAGATTATAAATTTAGGGTTTGAAATGCTTGATACAAATTTACTGAGGTTGAAGTGATCCAAAATGTGCAAAGCAGAGAAGTGCAATTTTTTAAGGATTTGATATGGCTGATTATGTTGCAGTTGATTCTACAGCTATTATACAATCAAAAAGGAAGATAGTGTGTATTTATTGTCTTTAAAGAAATTAAGAAAGATATTTTAAATTTTTATTTATTTATTTATCTGAAAGTTACAATAGTGTAATAAGTTAATATTTTTCACAACAATAATCTATTGCTTGGAGAGCCCAAATATATGCTAAAACTAAAACTATAAATTGAAAAGGAGTGTATGATAAGATATCAAAAGCTTACAGAGAAATAGAGATAAGATTGGAGATTCCACCCAACTAACATATAATCCAAAAACAATTCCTCTAAAGAGTATACCTATTGCTATTTAGAGTTGTTGTTGGTAAGAATCCATCCTTAAATCATAGTTTTTTTATTCTAACATAACAGTTGATAAAGCTCTTGAGTTGCAAACACACATTATAATTTTATATTTTGTAAATAGCATATTATTAACAAAGATAATTATAAAAAAATGACTACAAAATTTAGAGATTATTACAAAGCATAAGCTATGTATTTTTAAATTTTAAAAAATCTATCTTTGGATAAATTAAAAAGAAACATTTTACAAAAGGTTTTTTACATCTTTTTATTTGTTGTAATAAAAAGTATATATCTTTAAACATTGGGATTCTATATCTATTTCTTAAGTTGTTTAAAACTTAGACAATTCTTTTAATTTAGATACCTTTTAAATCTCTACTTGCATTACTTTGAAATATATGCCTAAAGGATTCAATTTTGTTGTCTCACATGTGATAACTAAGTTCAATTATATACTTAGTGAAAATCTAACAAATAATTTGTTAGAACTTTAGTATTGTGTTGCCATTCAAGAGAAAGCTCATTCTGAGTTGAAACTACTGAATATTAATCTTATCAAAAAAAAAAAAACAAAAACAAAAACAAAACAAAAAAAACAAAACAAAACAAAACAAAAAACAAAAAACAAAAAAAGAGATATAGATTGATTACTACCAATTGCCTATTAGATGTTGGTTATGTTTTGCAATCATACATTAATAATTGTCCAAAACTTTCTGCTTCACGGGACGTTAGAGATAAAGCTTCTGTTGCAAAAACTGAGAAATCTTTAAAAACAACCAAATGTATATTAACATTTATGTATAAATACATATATACAAATATCTATACATATGCCTATATAAATGTATAAATGTTAATAGATAAAAAAATAGAAAAAAATATCACAATTTTTTTTTTTTAAATAATGCATAATAGATTACAACAAAAAGAGAAAGAAGATTTTATTTTAGTAGTGAATTAAAAAAGAAGACTTAGATATCAATGTAGGATGAAAATGCAAATGATACCATTATAACTACCTCAACTCAACTCATATTGGTCATAAGAAAAATGACGCTTTAATAAAAATACTACAATTATTATACAAACATATAAGAGAAAATTTATTCTTACTATCAACATATTATTTATTTCAAATCTAGATAGTGATGTATAGGTATAAAAAATAAACAAAGAAAATCTACTACAACCATATTTCTATGTAGAACCTCGTCTCAAAGAAATAATAAACATAACATAGCTATAAATAAGAGATATTTTGAAATCATTATTTATCTCTACAATGTACGGTGAATCGATCAAAGATCCCATTGTAGGACTTAGTCTCAATTTGAAACAAGTTAATTAAAGACATAATTGTCTTAAGATTGAACATTCAACAATAATACCATTTCATGTGAGCTTATTAAAAAATATTAAAAAATTACTTAATAAAAATATAATAGATCTGTTAAATTGATCTTGGATTTTCTAATATAGAATAACACACTTATTTTAATCAATAATAGATAAGAAATGTGTAAATCCCACCAATGCATTAAATTTGGGGAAATTAATAAAATATAGTTTTAAGTTATTTAGAAGCAAAAATATTAAAATTAAAAAATATATTTAATTATTAAAATATTTATTATAATTATAAGATTTTATGAATTATAAGAGTCTTATTAGAAATTGTTTTAATAAAAATAGAGCCTTACTAAGTCTTAGAAATAATTATCTTAATTGATTTAATATATTTTACAAAAGAGAATTAGTATTTAGTTACCAAGAACAATATATTAATTGGTCTTCTATCTATAAGTGTTACTCCTATAAACCTATAAATTTTATTTAATAGGTAGAAAAATCATGAAAAATAATATCATATATTTTTAGTTATTTATGTAAAAAATATGATTTTTAAATTATTTTAATTGATTTTATTACTATAAAATATATAAGATAAAAATTAGATTTAAATTAATACTAGTACTATAAAAAAATTATAGAGATTTTAAGAATTTTCTAATAATTTGATTAGAATTGATTAGAAATTTTTAAAGCATATTTTCAAGATTTTGATAAAAAAATATTATTATAATATTGAGAGGCCAGTATGAAGAATTTCAGCAAGCTTTGAATGCCCTACATGATTCATAGGCTATTTGAGTGTTTTTCAACATCATGATTAAGTCAAAAATCCAAAAAAAATAGTTTTAATATTAAA